AGCAACTTCTGAAGAAGAATCAAAAAGCATAGAATCTTATAATAATATTTTGCTGGTAGTTTCAACAGATGGAGCCAACAAAGTTTGCGAGGGAAATATTTATAGTGCAATATAATATTTAATGAGAATATTTTGCTATGACTGCTTAAATATTCAGGTGAGCGATACAGGCCCTCTTGGGCCTCTTGTTATTATCAAGGTTTTACTGCAAATTAAAAAAACTTGTTTTATAATTGTTGTAAAAATATTAAAAGTTAAAAAAAAATCTTTGAAAGGGTACATTTATCATTAAATTGTGTATACTAAAAGTGTATATGATATATGTTTGTAGCAATAACTATAGTCTTATGTGTGTTATTTCCCCAGGTAGGAGACGAGATTGTCAGAGTGAATGGCTACACCATCTCACAGGCAATACACGAAGAGGTCCTCAACCTCATAAAGGGGCGAGATGCAGTGGAGCTGAAAGTTACAAGTATGTATCATCGTACAATCAACACCAAAACACATATTGCGTACAGAATGACACATGTCTCAAAATCAGTTCGGCTTTAAGGAACGCCCTTTCAAATGTCTTTAAAGATGTATTAAGTTGAGAAAAAAAAACTTAACTAAATGATATAAAAAGTTTTTTTGAGAAAAACAATAATAGATATTGATGAAAATGTCTTAGGGGAGATAACTCTAACAAAAATGACAGGTACGTTGTGTAAGGTAGCATGTTTCCTTAAGGATAATCACAAACTTACATCCTTACACTAAACACTGTATAATGGGTTGAAAATTGTTAAGGTTTTATTTTTTTCATAGCAGAACCAGTTTTGTATATACAGTAGTAATATATACAAACTCTAGCTGTATAGGTTTGTTACTCAATCCAGGAGCTTCTAATTAACTTCTTCTGTAGCAATTAAAAACTGAATCACCTTGAAAAAGCATGTAGTATTATCACCTTAACATTTTGAGATTTTGACACCAGAGCCTATTGTTAGATGTTAAACTTTTGTGATACACTGATGCAGCTATTTCATGTGATGTACCCTGGTTTTTAAATAGCTGTGCAAAAGGCTTGATTCTGTATTAATCATTGTTTTGTCCTTTCAGATATAGGAATGCTACCTGTCAAAGAGTGAGTACTGACATTTTTATTTTTAATAAAGATGAAATAAATAAAATATAATCGACAACAGTGTATCTTACTGACTGAGCTACCTAGTCAACAGAAGTGGCTGAAGTGTGCTACATAGCTGTCAACCCTCCGTCATTTTGACCAAAATTTTCCAATCTCCCTCGAAACCCCCTCATTCAAGTCCAAACTTGCACAAACTCAAAATCTACATCCTGTGGTAAAATGATCTAGTTACTGCAGGGTGCATGGAATGATCATAACAGGTGTGTCTGAATCAAATGAATGTTTTTTGGAGTTATTTTTATACATAAAAAGGGAAAGATAAATTGAGCAAAGCAGTTTCAATCGCGTTTCACGCACTTTCTCCCTCAATGGAAATTTGGAAAGACTGAGATCTCCCTCATTGGACGTTTCAGACTGTGGCACCTTTGGTGCTACATACAGTTTGATCCAAAACGAAGTTAAGGGGAGGTAACTGTATATAGGGAAAAACACAGTGCAGGGAACAGGCATCCTTAACCTTTGAAATTTAAAGCGTTGTCCTTGAAGATGTTGGCTGACCGACATCCGTGTTAAGCTTTCATTGTAATTTTCATCTGTGTCAACATGTAGATTTTTGCATATAGCTCTTTCATGCACAATGTATCTATTTATTAATTTTTTGAAAATTGAATGTTATAATGTATTATTGGGATATTTAGTTAGATCTCGAAATGGACATCTGACATAACCATAGATAGCCATTTTTTGGTTCAGCAATTTTTTTTTCAAATTCTTATAACATGTTACACCAATTTGAAATGTAACTGCTATTTTTAAAAAACAAAAAAATATTGTGTGCTCCGAAACTTGTCAAAGTCCATTTAAAAAACGATAATTTCAGTACTCAGGAGCCCAGGAGCAGAAATCTTTACTTTATGGAAACATAACCTGGACTTAAGTATACATATTCACCCCTGAAATAATTTCATTATGGACTATTCCAACCTTTGACTTGAAAGAGTTCAAATGTGTCTTCAGGAGTGAATGAGTCTTTATGAATATTTTATGTTTCCATGTTATTGATACATAAAGCATCATTATTTCCAAGCTTGCCATAGATTACAACATATATTTTTTATGAAAGTAAATTAACAAAACAAAAAATATATACTGGATAATCAGCGAAGCGAAAAGAACCTAGGACACAAGGGTTCTATTCTATTGTGTGATCCCTTTAACTAAATATATTAGATTGGATGAATAACGTCCCCAAAGGTATTTATCTCATTAAATATTCCTCCTCATGTTGCTTTCATTATGAATATTAAATCATCCGCTCATTAATTATTATAATTTACGGTCTTGGGGAGAGAATAGGGGTCTAAATATTAATTCTTTCTCTGGAAGGGTTGCTGTGGTGTTACTGAAATGCATTAACTCATTATTCACCCCTATATTTTTATACTGGACTTGCCCATTCATTGATATTGTAGGGTTCAAATGTGACTTTAGGGATGAATGGGTTAAGTACTGGAATTTTACCCTTCCATTGTCCCCACAAATACTCAACAATATAATCTGGAATCTCATTAGGATACAGAATAATTCTGGTGAAAATTTCTGTATGAATATTTCATCGCCACTTAATTGGGTATTACAATGTTCTGTTTCTGTCAGTCTGTCGGAGGTCCTTATGTCTAATGATGTATAACATACTGTATGTGTGTTAGTGTGTACTGTTGTGTAGAATTCTAACCTGTCAACCCTTTATATAAGTATATATTAAGCAGTTTTGACTGTTTTGACCTCCTGAAAATATTTAACGTAACATGCCAGTTTTAATAAAAAAATAAAAAAATGTTACTGTATGACTGTTGACTAGCTATAGACTGGTCACATGATAAACTGTTGTTTGCTACCGTATGACCGTTGACCGTTCGCATCAAACTGGTGTCTGCTACCCTACAACTCTTGATGGGTCACGAGATGAACTGTGATGTTCATATGCAGAGTGAATTTTTCACTTTTCATTTCATAACTTAGTATACAATGTTGTTTACTTATATTCGCTGTAATGATAAAATCGCTATCATCCATAGGTGTCAACCTGCGAAATTTCCAGTGAGGGTGATCTCCCTCACTCCACATTTCCGACAATGAGGGAGAAAGTCATGAAACATATGACTGAAACTGCTTTGCTCAATTTAGCTTTCCCTTTTGATGTAACCGAATATCTCCAAAAAACGTTCATTTGATTCAGACACACCTGTTATGATCATTACACGTACCCTGCAGTAACTAGGAGATCATTTGACCACAGGATGTAGATTTTGAGTTTGTGTGAGTTTGACTTGAATGAGGGAGTTTCGAGGGAGATTGGTAAATTTTGGTCAAAATGAGGGAGTCTCCCCACTAATGAAGGAGAGTTGACAGCCATGATCATAAAGGTGAGAATAAAAGTGCAGACCAACCCGTTCGGATAAGAATCCTTAATGTATAACATGTATCATTCTCAGGCACTGTGTGATCTCATTGTAAAGTACCCGATAGAGTACGGTCTTAGGGAAACTCGTACCACTGCCAAAAAATGAAACTATTCACTCGAAACCTATTTTTACAGAATGTTTGTTTGTGTTTTACGTCCTATGGTAATTTAAAGCCGTGCCAGGTTTTGTTTATGGAAGAAACCGGAGTTCCTGGAGAAAAAACACTGACCTACGCCCAGTACCTGGCGACTGACCCATGTAGGTCTCCAACCCGCGACCCAGTGGTGGAGGGCTAGTGGTAGCAGAATGTCAGACGCCTTAACCACTTGGCCACCACGGACCCTACAGAATGACTTTATAAGCTTTGATAAATCATTTTTGAAAAGAAAAATCTATACTTTTTGGGACTTCTATGAATACATATTGTAGATGAAATAATATATAAAATAATCAACAAGAATGTTCTGGGTGTAAAAATAAAGCCTGGCTACACTAGGATTCCAACTCTGGACCTCAGTTAAGTTATTTTATTACCCAATAGTCTATATAAATTATAATTAGTCATTTTTGACTGTTTCTGGCCTTTTGTCCAATTTCGGCTGTAGGGGTGAAACAGTCAAAACTGTTTTCCCGGTCGGAGCGAACTGTTACCCGGCGCGAATTCGATGCGCAGAAATCCCCCCTCGAGAGCCCCGTTCAAGCGTTTCGGTGACCGCGACTCAGTGTTGAAGCAATGGCAACATTGCATGCAGCATTGATACTAATATTTATTTGGTAATAAAACAATTGTTTCATGGTTATTTTGGGAACAGTCAAAACTATCATCCCTCGGTAGGGGGAAGCCCTGTGGAACTGTTTGCCCTTGGCCTAGCGGCCTCGGCCAAACAGTTCCCCAGGGCTTCCCCCTACCTCGGGATGATAGTTTTGACTGTTCCCCAAATAGCCATGAAACAATTGTATAATACTGTCACTCTAACCAATTGAGTTACTTGGTTAACTCATTCACCCCTTTCACAATGAACTGTTCCAACCTTTGAATTGGAAGAGTTCAAATGTGTCTTTAGGGGTGAATGAGTTAACAGAAGTGTCACAGACCAACTGACTGCTATATATAGTTATAGCGAAAGTGAAATTAAGGGGGGGTCACTGTGTATACGAAAACCCACTGTGCAGTGGGACAGGGATCCTTAATATTGATCTGAAATAATTATGTCACCTTATACAATTGAACAAGTACCAGGAACTGAGTGATCTTTGAAAAAAGTTGGTTCTAATATATATATCAGTTCAAATAATCTCATAAAGGTGAGACTCTGGGACCGGAATAGGTTTCCTAGTACATGTCTGGTGAAGTTTCATGGTCTTTTAAAAAAAAAATACTGAATTATTAATAATGTACTAACACCTGCGTATATTGATCAGTGATAAGTGCATTAACAGGTGAGAATGTGCGACCAGAATGGATTTCTTGAAGTCATTATCGGGTATTTATCTCTCCGATTCTAACATACGGTAGCTACCACAATATTGGTCTGTAGTAATAACGTTGTAACATCAATACACGGAAGCTCAGAGAGTCAAGCCCAAGGTGGAGGAGCATTGTAATTAAACATCAGATCAAATTTTAATATCTAAATCTAGACTTGAAAATTAGTGTACTTTTACATATGACATGTGGTTATGACTCGGCTGCTACGGACAGATCTATAACTATATATCTGCTCTGTGTCCTCACTCTGAAAAAGTACTGTTAAGTATAAAAAAAATATGATTATTGATCTGTAAAAAATCATTATGTCACTTATAATTACAAGCGAGTCAGAACAATAGACCAGGATTAGTGTCAAAAGTACTTTTTTGTTATCGGTACAGTACTGTACATGTATAGCAGAAAATTGTTCATTAAAATTCAAATAGCTCCGATAAAACTCTTTCTCCTAAGCTTTAGTTCCTTGAACATAATAAATTCTTTTAATAAATTGACCAAAAATTATCAGCTCTACTGGTCCATTAGGACCATGATGTACTGTGTTGTCCATCTATCTGTCTATCTGTTTATCTGTCCCTCTTTCCATCAAAAATGTCTTCAAACAACTTCTTCTTCTGAACTGCTTGACAGAATTTCATGGAATTCAACTGGTAACATCCTTAGGTGGTGGGGATTTGCTTTTGTACAATGGAGGGGCTAATTCCCCCATGGGGTTGACGGGTGTGGCTAAATAGGGGTGAATTGACCTTATTGCTTCATGTTGAACTTCTCCTCTGGAACTGACTTTATTGATAATGATCTATGTAGTATCCATATGAATGATATTTCACAAATTATACTACACGTATCATTAACTTTATATATTACAGCAAATACTTTTAAAAAAATGGTTTTTTTTGGAAACCAAATTTAAGTATCTCTGTCCCACTGTACTATGGTTTTTCCTATACACAGTTACTTCCCCTTAACTGTGATGAGTTGAGGCAGGACACTTCCTATGACTAGATAGCTCATTTGATTTTGTTTATTTCATCTTTATTATTTCTCATTAAAGTCCCATAAAGTTTTCTTTTCAGAAATGATTTATCAAAACTATAGTATGATGCCAAAAAAAGTTACAATTTTTGGCAGTGGTATGGGGATCCTTTAAAATGTCTGCTAGACTGACTATAACATTCTATTGTGTGTATGTCGGCATGGCCTTCTTTATTCATGACTGCAGCATCTATATGGTTATCTGACTCCTTGGAAACTCAAATATCTTTTAACAATTGTAAAAAATAAAACATCACCAAATGCTTAATGACAGACTTTAAAAACGTACAATGAAAACTAAACATATAATCTTATGTACACAGGAAACAAGGCGACTCCCTGACCTGGAAGTATGTGGAGAAACGGGACCGGAAGAAAAGTGTCGTAAGTTTAGGACAGAATGTCTTTTGAAAAAATAGTCCTTGACAGACTGGCCAGCCAATAAGCTATGAACAAAAAAGATTTATATAGACTGCCCTATATGGGTTAATTTCCATATGATGTACTTTGAATTAACTAATTTTTGTGGGTTTTTAAATTTCGTTGATTTCGTCCGTAATCTTCATCGATGAATTCATAGATCCACAGAGTAATTACAAATTCAAAATAAAGCAGTGCTCTGTTTGAGTGCTTGTAATGCACGAATCCATTTTTTTCCTAGAGTCTCAGCTGCAATAGATACAGAAAGAGTACCGTGATTTGTGGCTGTTGTTTGGAAAGGTTTCACTGTAGTACACAAGTTTATAAGAAAATTTAATTCTTTCTCCATTAGCAGCGAAAGTCACAGCAACGGCCAGCATCTGAGGACGAAGGAGAAGTTGTCAAGCTTTTTGCCAATCTCCGAACCTCACCTTCCCTCGGATGCAGGTAAGTACGCCCAATCAGAATGTCCAGCCAGCTGGATATCATTATAGCATGAGGAACAATTACATTGTCAAAATCACATGGAAACTGCAGAGAAAAATAATACAGTACTTATGAACATTTTTATTAAAAATACAAATATTTGATGTACCTGTAAGTATAATATGTATATGATACTCTTTTGATTTATCATATTTATATATATTTGTCAGTAATTCATAAATCTTACCAATTCAGCATCATGAGTGGCCCCCACGGTCAGGGAATATACATCCAGAGGGTGGGGCCACAGAGCTTGGGGGAGCAGATTGGACTAGAGGTCGGTGACCAGATTCTGGAAGTCAACGGCATCAGCTTCCTTGATGTGGCGCATAATGAGGTGAAATGTTTTTTTTATATCATGTATGATATGGTAGAAGTGTTACTGTGAATCGTATCATCTTGAGTGCCAATGCATTATGGCATTCATAGATAGTCATCGTGATTCCTTTTTTTTTTTAAAGTTTTGTAACAGTTACCACCCTGTTTGAGGGGTTATTAAACAATCAAGCAAATTTCATATGATTTCAGTTTGCATTTCTTCTTGTTCAATCAATGAAAAGAAAGATTATTTCAAAAATGAAAATGCTATACAATTTCAGAGATAGATCACTTAAAACATAACTTAATTCAGCATGGGTCAAGGTTTATTTCAAATCAGGGAAAACCATGGTAACAGGGTTGTACAAAAAGTTGTGACAAGGAATATCACAATACGTATCCTATCATGGCCCATGTGTCGTGACACCTGTTGTATCGTTACAACCCTTGCGGTAAACAGCATTAGTATATGGAATTTCTTAGAGAAATGTTTTGAAAATTCCAGTAATTAGAACGGGGGTACAAGCATGACATTTAAGGATCCGTGTCCCACTGCTGGTAAAACACTAGAGAATCTACTGTAGTTTTCATAATCACAGTTATCTCCCATTAACTTGGTTTTGTATATTTTGTTTACCAGGTAGCTCAATCAGTTGAAACGGTACAACAGTCTGAGATCCATGCAGGGTTGAAGTTTTGGTCTTACCCTTGTCAGTTTTTACACTCAGAACATGTTTTGTTGGTTATACTTTGTAAATTTCATCTCAATCATTTTTCATAAAGTCCCAGAAGGTACGTTTTTCTTTTCAAAAATGATTTATCATAGTTATATAGTCATATAAGAAAAATAAGTTTCCGGCTTTTGTCAGTGGTATGGAGATCCTTAAAAGACCCCCTCAAGATTTCATGCTAAACATTTTATGCAGCACTGAAATGTTTGTCTGGAATGGATGAACTGTTTTAGATGTTAGAAATGATTTATTGATGAGAAAAGCACATGCAGTCATTTATCAGTGAAGAAACATGCTTATCAAATGTCATCAGCTTGACTATAAATAATTTTTAATTTTATTCCAGGCCATTGTAGCACTTAAAAGCAGCAAGGAGCTTAATCTTGTCATCAGGAAAAAGTCTGTGAGTAGACATGTCATATAAAAATCTGGTTTTAAATATTGAATGTAAATAGCACAATCAAAGAAATAAATCAGTTTGCACTTGAAGGGATTCTGAAGGTCATGAAACTTTAGTCCTCTATAGTATTACATTCCACCTTATTTTTCTGGGTTTTTTTTTTGATACAATGAAGGGTCAATCTGTTAATAATGACCACCTGTTTTTTTTAGGATTACCTGTCAATAAAGGATATCTTCTGTTCAGATCAACTGTCTATAAAGGATATCTTCTGTTCAGATCAACTGTCTATAAAGGTCATCTGTTTGTTCAAATCACCTGTCTATAACAGACAGATGTCTGTTAAGATCATCTGTCTTTAAAGGACATTTGTAAGTTAAGATCACCTGTCTATAAAGATCAATTGTCTAAAATGGTCATCTGTCTCTTAAGATCATCTGTCTTTAAAAGACATATATTTGTTAAGATCATCTATCTTTATAGATCACCTGTCTATAAAGGACATCTGTCTTTTCAGATCTACTGTCTATAAATGACATTTGTCTGTTTAGATCATCTTTCCATAAAGGTCATCTGTCTGTTAAGATCATCTGTCTATAAAGGTCATCTGTCTGTTAAGATCACCTGTCTATAAAGGACATCTGTCTTTTCAGATCTACTGTCTATAAATGGCATTTGTCTGTTTAGATCATCTTTCCATAAAGGTAATCAGTGTGTTAAGATCATCTGTCTATAAAGGACATCTGTCTGTTAAGATCATCTGTCTATAAAAGTCATCTGTCTGTTTAGATCATCTGTCTATAAAGGACATCTGTCTGTTTAGATCATCTGTCTATAAAAGTCATCTGTCTGTTTAGATCATCTGTCTATAAAGGACATCTGTCTGTTTAGATCATCTGTCTATAAAAGTCATCTGTCTGTTTAGATCATCTGTCTATAAGAACATCTGTCTGTTTAGATCATCTGTCTATAAAAGTCATCTGTCTGTTTAGATGATCTTAACAGACAGATGTCCTTTATTATCAGATGTCCTTTATAGACAGATGATCCTAACAGACAGATGACCTTTACAGACAGATGATCTAAACAGACAGATGACTTTTATAGTCAGATGATCTAAACAGACAGATGTCCTTTAGAGACAGATGATCCTAACAGACAGATGACCTTTACAGACAGATGATCTAAACAGACAGATGTCTATAAAGGACATCTGTCTGTTTAGATCATCTTTCTATAAAGGTCATCTGTCTGTTAGGATCATCTGGCTATAAAAGTCATCTGTCTGTTTAGATCATTTGTCTATAAAGGACATCTGTCTGTTTAGATCATCTTTCTATAAAGGTCATCTGTCTGTTAGGATCATCTGTCTCTAAAGGACATCTGTCTGTTTAGATCATCTGTCTGTAAAGGTCATCTGTCTGTTAGGATCATCTGTCTATAAAGGACATCTGATAATAAAGGACATCTGTCTGTTAAGATCATATGTCTATAAAGGTCATCTGTCTGTTCAGATCATCTGTCTATAAAGGTCAGCTGTCTGTTAAGATCATCTGTCTATAAAAGTCATCTGCCTGTTTAGATCATCTGTCTATAAAGGAAATCTGTCTGTTTAGATCATCTGTCTACAAAGGACATCTGTCTGTTAAGATCATATGTCTATAAAGGTCATCTGTCTGTTAGGATCATCTGTCTCTAAAGGACATCTGTCTGTTTAGATCATCTTTCTATAAAAGTCATCTGTCTGTTTAAATCATCTGTCTATAAGAACATCTGTCTGTTTAGATCATCTGTCTGTAAAGGTCATCTGTCTGTTAGGATCATCTGTCTATAAAGGACATCTGATAATAAAGGACATCTGTCTGTTAAGATCATCTGTCTTTAAAGGTCATCTGTCTGTTCAGATCATCTGTCTATAAAGGTCAGCTGTCTGTTAAGATCATCTGTCTATAAAGGACATCTGATAATAAAGGACATCTGTCTGTTAAGATCGTTTGTCTATAAAGGACATTTGTCTGTTTAGATCATCTGTCTATAAAAGTCATCTGCCTGTTTAGATCATCTGTCTATAAAGGACATCTGATAATAAAGGACATCTGTCTGTTAAGATCGTTTGTCTATAAAGGACATTTGTCTGTTTAGATCATCTGTCTATAAAAGACATCTGTCTGTTAAGGTCATCTGTCTATAAAGGTCATCTGTCTGTTCAGATCATCTGTCTCTAAAAGTCATCTGTCTGTTTAGATCATTTGTCTATAAAGGACATCTGTCTGTTAAGATCATCTAAACAGACAGATGACTTTTATAGCCAGATGATCCTAACAGACAGATGACCTTTACAGACAGATGATCTAAACAGACAGATGACTTTTATAGCCAGATGATCCTAACAGACAGATGACCTTTACAGACAGATGATCTAAACAGACAGATGAGCTTTATAGACAGGTGATATTAACAGACAGATGTCCTTTATAGACAAATGATCTAAACAGACAGATGACTTTTATAGACAGGTGATCTTAACAGACAGATGTCCTTTGTAGACAGATGATCTAAACAGACAGATTGCTTTTATAGACAGATGATCTAAACAGACAGGTGACTTTTATAGACAGATGATCTAAAAAGACAGATGTCCTTTATAGACAGATGACCTTTATAGACAGATGATCTTTATAGACAGATGATCTAAACAGGCAGATGAACTTTATAGACAGATGCTCTAAACAGACAGATGTCCTTTATAGGCAGATGATCTAAACAGACAGATGACCTTTATAGACATATGATCTTAACAGACAGATGTCCTTTGTAGACAGATGATCTAAACAGACAGATGACCTTTATAGACAGGTGATCTAAACAGACAGATGACCTTTATAGACAGATGATCTAAACAGACAGATGACCTTTATAGACAGGTGATCTAAACAGACAGATGACCTTTATAGCCAGATGATCTAAACAGACAGATGTCTATAAAGGACATCTGTCTGTTAAGATCATATGTCTATAAAGGTCATCTGTCTGTTAAGATCACCTGTCTATAAAAGTCATCTGTCTGTATAGATCATCTGTCTATAAAGGACATCTGTCTGTTAAGATCGTCTGTCTATAAAGGACATTTGTCTGTTTAGATCATCTGTCTATAAAGGACATCTGTCTGTTAAGATCGTCTGTCTATAAAGGACATCTGTCTGTTTAGATCATCTATCTATAAAGGTCATCTGTCTGTTAAAATCATCTGTCTATAAAGGTCAACTTTCTGTTAAGATCATCTGTCTATAAAGGTTATCTGTCTGTTTAGATCATCTATCTATAAAGGTCATCTGTCTGTTATGATCATCTGTCTATAAAGGTCATCTGTCTATAAAGGTCAACTGTCTGTTTAGATCATCTGTCTGTAAAGGTCATCTGTCTGTTAGGATCATCTGTCTATAAAAGTCATCTGTCTCTTTAGATCATCTGTCTATAAAGGTAATCTGTATATAAAGGTCATCTGTCTGTTAAGATCATCTGTCTATAAAGGTCAACTTTCTGTTAAGATCATCTGTTTATAAAGATCATCTGTCTTTTAGATCACCTGTCTATAAAGGACATCTGTTTGTTAAGATTATATCCATACTAGGCCTGTGTGAACTATCTCCAGGTAGGCTTAAGTAATACACATTTTTTTGTCAGAAAATGAAAGTCTGTTCTATAAAGGTGCTTTTTCAGATATTCAAACCTAATGTTTGGTTAGATTTTGATCTCAGTTTATCTTTGATTGTTACAAAATTATATTAAACATTGTGGCATTTATAAAGTTTAAAGCCAATGTGCGGTGGAATTTTAATTGCTGGTGAATTTTTCAGATTTTGAAAAGTTGAATAATTATAAAGCGATGAACAAATTCATATTACCAACAGATGGGTGTAAAGTATATATGTGTTCCTGTTTTATTCAGGGAATTCACATAGTGCAATCTGCTGCAGTCAACACTCGCACACAGCCACCAAAAGAACCTCCAAAGCAGGAGAGTTCCCTGATGGGTTCTCAATATGACGAGGAACCTGAATATGCTGTGGTTGTCAAGGAAAAGAAAGCGGCTGCCCCTCCAGCCCCGCCTCCGGCTCCATCAGCCCCAGCGCCACCACCACCACCACCTCCACCACCATTCAAACTAAGTCCAAATAGGTATGGCAGTCACAGCAACGGTGATGATGAAGATGATGATGAAAATGTTTTGGAATTTTTTTGATAAGTTCACTTACTGTCGTGGTGGCTTCATTATTGTCTTCCTGTTAAATGAAAGATTTTTAAAATATTTATATTATTAGATTTTTCTAGTCAAATCCATTTTAATTTATTTTAATAATTGATTTACAATCACTTTCTAGTCTATTTCTAAATATATTTCTGCTGATTTTAAATGATTCATGGGTTGTTTGGTAAATTCGTTTCTCCCAATTTTTTTTTCAAAAATCTGTTCACAGCTTAACATGGAAAGGATAAAAAAATAAAATCAATATTTGTAATTGAAATTAATCGGATCATGCAACTTCCTGGAGAAAAATCAAACTGTTATTTAAACAGGGTTTTTACTTAAATCTGGTTACCTTAAATGAATGTTTTTTCTAGAATATGTTTGAAATAAAATCAGGTGAAACTAATAAAGCCTCTAAAAGGTGAAACAGGCAATGGACATCCTATTAAAGGGAGATAATTTAAAATTTCCTTCTTAAACTGTAGTGAAAAATGGATTTTAACTTATGACCAAAGGGAGATAATTTGTAATCGATTTAGGAGAGGGGAAATAGATTTTCTGCCAATTAAACTGTGGAGGTACCTGTACTTAGCTCATCACAATCCAGTACATCAACAACAGTTTCCATGTTGTCTGCATCTAAATTTAGTAAAGAACTTTTCGATCACAAAAAGGATTTATACAGTTTGTGGTTTAAATCATTTATTGGCAGCCGTTATCACTATTTACTGGGGGGTTTTCTCTTGAAATTATACCCCTTATGATGCTAAAACATGTACAGAAATTGAATGTATATATTTACTGTAATAGAGAAGAAATGGCCCCATACACAAAATGCATGATTGTCAAATTCATTCTGCATGATTCTGTCTTGCTTTTTTCCTGTTTATTATTTGCATTCATCTTACTTTGACACAACTTCTTCATATACCCTAAAATCTTGATTTCAATTTTTTGTAAGGAATTTAAGGCTTATTTTCAAAGTTGGCTTTTTTTCAATGCAATTTTATTTTCAAAATCATATAGATAGTAATTATTTCCAGTCCTTCTTTTTTCTTATAGAAATTTAAGAAAATTAAATTGTTTTATTTTCTTTCATAAAGTGTTGCAATAATAAATTATGAGATATAATGAATACCTGTAAAACCTGTTAAGGCCCACATGGCTCCTTCCTGAGAATTTATGCTCATTTTGAAGGGCAGCCTATTTTCAAAGACAGCTTATTTTCAAGATTTTAGGGTTTACTACAACTATGCATGTAGATTGATGCAAATTTGAAAATATCAAGTTTCTCAATCTGAAGGTGTCTTCAATAAACAAAAGTTTATATTTTCTAACTGAGAAATTATTTGACAAGGTTGAAAAATATTACCCAGGTTCACTTTTTTTTTTTTTTTATATGTATGTATTATTTCCAATAATTGCCCACCCTCTTAGACTTCTGTATTCACATCCAATATATCACTTGCCTGGGTGTTTAATGGAACATGTACGGTATGCACATGTACATGTACAGCAACAGAGATCACTGACTGGGATGAAATATCGTAGATTAGATTGTCATGCAAGTAGACATGATTTGAATCTTTGAATTAATCATTAATTAAATGAAGCTAATTAATACAAACATGTCCGATAAATATCCTTCTTTCTAGCAATATGCTAAATATAACAAAGTATTGATTTTTTTAATAAACATCCCTCAATCAAATACAATTTTGAAATAATCCAAAGCATCATGGAAAAAGTACTGTCTTCCAAAATGACAACAAAAGATGGCCATGTTGATTAAGATTTTCAAGTGTGTAACAAATTTGCGACATGATAATGTTTATTGTGGATATACTGATAATTTTTCACAAATGTCTCGATCAGCCCAATGATTTATTTTGATATGTTCAAACAATTTGGATACCATATCAGAATCATGATTGCAAATATTGAAATGAGCAGATAATCAATGGCCGGCTTCAACATGAAACTACTGTCTTGAAATATGGAAATGGTAAATTGTGAAGCACCCAGGTTACCTAATACAAACTGTATACAAGGGATCTTTCATCCATTCAAATATCCTTCCAACACTTTGTAAAGTGCGGGGGGTCATCCCTCCAACTACTGTGTTGCTGAACTAGTGAGCGGGTCCCCGGGTTATACTGCATCACTGGAAAAGCTAGCTTGCCAGTAAGGCAGTATTTCCCCCGTACATTCCTTAGCTTTTACACTATTCCCCCCTCCAAGAAATCTCGTCCCGAGACTTCGCCTGGGGAATCCCGTTGGTCCTCCCAGCCTAACAATGCACCTTCCCTAGCCACAGGGAACTGGCCTTACATGATCACAGAAACACTGCGCTGCCACCATATAAAGTGTGAGCGGTCACCCATCCAATTACTGACCACGCTCACCATTGCTGAACTAGTGAGCGGTTCCCCGGATTATACCGCATGACTGGAAAAGCTATCTTGCAAGTAAGGCAGTATTTCCCCAGCATATTCCGTAGCTGTTACACTATTCCCCCCTCCAAGAAATCTCGTCCCGAGACTTGGCCTGGGGAATCCCGTAGGTCCTCCCAGCGTATCAATGCACCTTCCCTAACCACCAGGAACTGGCTTTACATGATCACACAGAATCCCACCGCTGCCACTGAATGTAAAGTGCGAGTGGTCACCCATCCAGCTACTGACCATGCTCGAAGTTGCTGAACTAGTGAGCGGGTCCCCGGGTTATACCGCATCACATACTGGAAAAGCTAGCTTGCCAGTAAGGCAGTATTTCCCCGTACATTCCTTAGCTTTTACACTATTCCCCCCTTCGAGAAGTCTCGTCCCGAGACTTGGCCTATGGGTAATATTTCCTCCGTATATTCCTTAGCTGTTACAACTGGTCAAATCAATGTTTGCCCAACGTTAAAATATGGTATACTATGTATTAATATTTGCTGTCATTGATAAAGGACTTTAATTAGGGGGCATTAAGGGCCATTTCTGACCTCATCAAGGATTTAGACTTAGTTGTTATATTTAATATTCTTGAGTAAATTAAGTATTTAAATAAGAAATTTCAAAACCATTTGACAATTGGTATAGGAGATATGGCATGACAAAGAGAGGTATAAACCCACATATTTCATAACAAAATGCGTGAATATCTTCTATGTTGAAAACTAGCCATTTTGAAGCAAGTTAACTAAACTCCCTCAATTTTTGAAAGTCTCGGAAAATGCACCAACCAAATATTTTCCATGCTTAAGCATTGTCATACCAGTGTTCATTTGTAGAAAGAAATTTTTGATTGTCACATGCAGAGATTTTCATTTCTGCGTGTTAACTGTCCAAGGACATGATGATTTTTTGGCTATTTCTGCATAGCAACCGGATTTGTTGCTATGGTGGGGCATCTAAGCATGGGCAATGAAAAAAATCTGCACCAGGAAAGATAGCCCCGATTAAACATTATGATGCTAATAAAAGAAAATTGGTTAATAATTAAGTTCAAGTTATTTTTTTTTACGTTTTATGAGGCCGAAAATGACCCATAACAACCTAAGTAAGTCCTATATTTTGTCTTCATTACAGAGGACTATACAGAAAGAAAAAAAAACTTCGGCAAAAACTTTCCAGTATACAGTAGAATAGTTTTTCCCCCCTCATTTTACTGCTAGATTCCCAGTTATTCTGCTTATTTCGATTGGCTGTTGCATGTTATTATTTATGATTGGCTGTTGCATTTCCTTATTTGTGATTGGCTGTCGCATGCCTTGTGTTTATTTATTATTTAAATAAATATTTCTTCTCTCCTTGCTTTTGTCTTTACTTTCTCCTGTACAATAGCCTGTGTTGTTATTTAACTCACCTACACTGGAATATCAAATTCAGGCTCATCTTTTAAGGATCCCCGTACCACTGCCAAAAACTGTATTTAACGAAGTGTTGGAAACTATTTTTTCCCGGCATGACTATAGCTTTGATAAATCGTTCCTAAAAAAGAAAACCATACCTTGCGGGACTTTTATGATAAATAATGAATATGAAATAAACAAAATATAGGCAACAATAGTGTTCTGAGTGTAAACAACTCAGCAGGGCTAGACAAGGATTCGAACCCTGGACTTCAGATTGATATACTACTACTCTAACTGATTGAGCTACAGGGACAACAGAAGTGTCCTTGACCAACCGAGCTACGTTTATTCCGTCTTTTCGTATTGCAGAGTTATCTGCTCTTGTGAGCAGGTATTGATTGTTACGTCATTTGTTTGTGAGAGTAATGTCATAAATTTTTGAGAAAACGACGTAATTTTCTCACACAAACTAATGACGTTACAATCAATACCTGCTCACAATAGCAGATAACTCTGCAATCAAAAAGACAGAATATACAAACAGAAGTTAATAAAGGAAAACCTCAGTGCAGTGGGACAGGGATCCTTAAAAGACATTCCTGTGAAGATATATCAAAGTTCCTATAAACAAGTGGTGATCCGCGATGTGTTAATCTCACTCGAGATAGTAACACTGTAATACAGTGTATATACTGAGACACAAGTTAGTATAATGAGTGTATATGTCTGAAAATTAGTTATTGAGAGTTTGAATAATTATAATGTAAATAACCAAACTGCTGTCACGAGTTCAATGACCTTTTTTCTCCCATAACATTCATATCATATCTGGAATATTGATATACTCCTTAAAACTGCATTCATGATTCATGCTCGGGGAAACAATTATCATGAATCATGACTACCACAAAGGATGATGCCTGGCACAAAGCATTAAAACATGATGTAATAGAAAAATAACTGAATGAACCCATGTCCAGGTTGTTTACACCACATGTGCAATAACATGAAATATTTACCAGCTCGTTGCATGTTTATCCAATACTCCAGGATTGGAGAAACAAAGTGCATGTTATAGAAAGGGAGAAAAAAAAGCTACATTTTTTCTATTCGAAAATGTTAAGGATCCCTGTACCACTGCCAAAAACTGCATGTAACTAGACGTTTGTCATTTTCTGCTGGCATGCATGACTTCACCTTTTAGAAAACATTTTTGAAAAGAACCCCAATCTAGTAGAACTTTGTTAAAAAATAAGCATGCCTGTAGTACTGACAAAAACTGCATGTATCTAGAAATTTGTCCTTTTTTTCGCTGGCTTCATTGACTTAACCTTTAAGAAGCATATATCCTGAAAAGAAACCCATATCTTGTAGAACTTTCTCTTGATATTTTCATTGTAGATGAAGTTGATAGGATCCTTTTTTGGCTCACCTGGCCCGAAGGGCCAAGTAAGCTTATGGCATGGTGCGTCGTCCGGCGTCCTGCGTCCGCTGTCCGTCTGTCGTCAACATTTTACTTTAAACAACTTCTTCTCAGTAACCAAAAGGCCTAGGGTGATGATATTTGGCCAGAAGCATGCTGGGATGAAGGGCTACCAAGTTTGTTCAAATAAATGACCTTCATCCATTTTCAAGGTCACAGGGGTCAAATATGTTAAATTCTTTAAACAACTTCTCCTGAATAACCTAGAGGCATAGGGTGATGATATTTGGCCAGTAATATACTTGGATGAAGGGCTACAAATTTTGTCCAAATAAATTACCTGGATTTATATTCAAGGTCACAGGGGTCAAATATGTTTAAAACATTTGAATAACTTCTTCTGAATAACCAATAGGCATTGGGTGCATAAATTTGGCCAGTAACATGCTGGGATAAAGGGCTACCAAGTTTGTTCAAATAAATGACCTTGATTTATATTCAAGGTCACAGGGGTCAAATATGTGTAAAACATTTAAATAACTTCTTCTGAATAACCAATAGGCATTGGGTGCATAAATTTGGCCAGTAACATGCTGGGATAAATGGCTACCAAGTTTGTTCAAATAAATGACCTTGATTTATATTCAAGGTCACAGGGGTCAAATATGTTTAAAACTTTTCAACAACTTCTTCTGAATAACCAAGAGGCCTAAGGTGATGATATTTGGCCAGTAGCATGCTGGGATGAAGGGCTACCAAGTTGTTCAAATAAATGACCTTCATCCATTTTCAAGGTCACAGGGGTCAGATGTCTTAAAATCTTCAAACTACTTCTTCTCAATAACCAAAAGGCCCAGGGTACTGATATTTGGCCTGTAGCAATCAGGGCTACCAAAGTTGTTCAAATGAATGACCATGAGCCACTTTCAACCTAATGTCATTGTTTGTCATTCAAGGTCACACTGATATTCTGCCTGTAGATGTATTTTAGTCCACTTTTAAGATTAAAAGTGTGAGATTAATACCAGGTGAACGATGCAGGCCCATTGGGCCTCTTGTCTATGTTTCTTATCAATTCAGAAAAAATGAAGGAAGTATTGAATTATCTCACCGGAAGGAATAATGGTTTATAATTTTAAAATATATTTCATCTAAATAAAAACCTCCGTCAACATTATTGCAAAGGAAGAATAAGACATGTATACTGTTACATGTGAAATGTTGAAATTGCATTGCATGAACACATTTTCCAAACATAATACTAACTTTATCTGTAAAGAAAATTGAATGTTTTGTTTTCCTTCTTGTTAAAAAAAATAAAAAAAAATAATAGGGTTCTGTGTTAGGAGAGACAAAAATGAAAAGGTACCTTGTCAACAATAGTTATTTGGCACTATCCCGCTACAGTGATGTCCAACACGAAAGTAAGGGGATGTTACTCTTTGTATGCAAAACTAAAGTGGAATAATAAAGAAAATTTGTTATGCGGTTCAAGACTGCATGTCTAACAACAGGGTACTAGTCATTTCTGAAAGAGTTTAAAATTTTAGCCATTTTCGTCTAAATTTACCAATGATTTACTTCAACAATGTTCAGGTTTGCTTATAATACTCTGATTCACTTTCACACCGGTAGTATAATGCATGCCCCCCTTAATATACCACATGTCCATTCTGTTGAGCAGGTAGGTTACTTGGTTAGACGAGACAGTTCATCAATCGGAAGTCCAGTGTTCAAATCCCTGTCTAGCCCCGCTGATTTTATAAATCAACAACAGCGTTCTGAGCGTAACAATTCAACAAGACATCAGATTGTTCTATTATGGCTCTTACCGATTGAGCTGTACCTGATCAAAAGAAGTGGCTTGCCCAAAGTTGTTGTTGACATGTGTGAAGATTGCAAGAGCATATTGTAATGTAAAAGTTTCCACAACACCAGTTGTTAAAAAAGTAAAATCAGAAAACGATCACTTATACGGTACATGTCACCAATTCCTTACTACGGAACATATGAAACCTTCACATTTCTGTAAACTTAGATTTAATTGGAAAAGGGTGATTTGCCTGGGCGAAAGTTTCCGGTATAAAGTTAAGTTTAGACCATACTAAATTAACTGTCCCTTTGATTATGATATTGGAAAAAGATTTAAAATTTTGATAGATACTGTAGTTTTAAAAGATTTATATCCATATACCATATTTATCCGACAATAAGTCCATGCTTGGTAATAAGCCTACCAAGATATATGACAGTTAGGAAGAAATGCCAACAAAAACTATTTCATTGTCCTGTAATAAGCCCACCCCCCGACTTTCAGTTGATCTGTAATAAGCCTATCCCCTACTTTCAGTTGATCTGTAATAAGCCCAACCCCGACTTTCAGTTGATCTGTAATAAGCCTATCCTCTACTTTCAGTTGATCTGTAATAAGCCTATCCCCTACTTTCTGTTGATCTGTAATAAGCCCAACCCCGACTTTCAGTTGATCTGTAATAAGCCTATCCCCTCCTTCCAGTTGATCTGTAATAAGCCCATCCCCTACTTTCAGTTGATCTGTATTAAGCCTATCCCCTACTTTCAGTTGATCTGTAATAAGAATATCCCCTACTTTCAGTTGATCTGTAATAAGCCTGCCCCCTACTTCCAGTTGATCTGTAATAAGCCCATCCCCTACTTTCAGTTGTCCTGTAATAAGCCTATCCACCTACTTTCAGTTGATCTGTAATAAGCCTATCCTCTACTTTCAGTTGATCTGTAATAAGCCCATCCCCTACTTTCAGTTGATCTGTAACAAGCCTATCCTCTACTTTCAGTTGATCTGTAATAAGCCCACCCCCTACTTTCAGATGATCTGTAATAAGTCCATCCCCTACTTTCAGTTGATCTGTAATAAGCCTGCCCCCTACTTCCAGTTGATCTGTAATAAGCCCACCCCCTACTTTCAGTTGATCTGTAATAAGCCTGTCCGCTACTTTCAGTTGATCTGTAATAAGCCCATCCCCTACTTTCAGTTGTCCTGTAATAAGCCTATCCCCCTCCTTTCAGTTGATCTGTAATAAGCCTATCCCCTACTTTCAGTTGATCTGTAATAACCCCATCCCCTTCTTTCAGTTGATCTGTAATAAGCCCACCCCCGACTTTCAGTTGATCTGTAATAAGCCTATCCCCTATACTTTCAGTTGATCTGTAATAAGCCCACCCCCTACTTGCAGCTGTTCTGTAATAAGCCTATCCCCCTACTTTCAGTTGATCTGTAATAAGACCATCCCCTACTTTCAGTTGATCTGTAATAAGCCTGCCCCCTACTTCCAGTTGATCTGTAATAAGCCCACCCCCTACTTGCAGCTGTTCTGTAATAAGCCTATCCCCCTACTTTCAGTTGATCTGTATTAAGCCTATCCCCTACTTTCAGTTGATCTGTAATAAGCCTGCCCCCTACTTCCAGTTGATCTGTAATAAGCCCACCCCCTACTTTCATTTGATCTGTAATAAGCCCACCCCCAACTTTCAGTTGATCTGTAATAAGCCCATCACCTACTTTCAATTGATATGTAATAAGCCTATCCCCTACTTTCAGTTGATCTGTAATAACCCCATCCCCTTCTTTCAGTTGATCTGTAATAAGCCCATCCCCTACTTTCAGTTGTCCTGTAATAAGCCTATCCCCCTCCTTTCAGTTGATCTGTAATAAGCCTATCCCCTACTTTCAGTTGTTCTGTAATAAGCCCAACCCCGACTTTCAGTTGATCTGTAATAAGCCTATCCCCTATACTTTCAGTTGATCTGTAATAAGCCCACCCCCAACTTTCAGTTGATCTGTAACAAGCCCATCACCTCCTTTCAATTGATATGTAATAAGCCTATCCCCTACTTTCAGTTGATCTTGAATAAGCCTATCCTCTACTCTCAGTTGATCTGTAATAAGCCCATCCCCTACTTTCAGTTGTCCTGTAATAAGCCTATCCCCCTCCTTTCAGTTGATCTGTAATAAGCCTATCCCCTACTTTCAGTTGATCTGTAATAAGCATATCCCCTACTTTCAGTTGATCTGTAATAAGCATATCCCCTACTTTCAGTCAGAGATTATGTGTTTGTCCCCCTGGGTTTATTGCAGGATAAATACTGTAAAAAACAACATATTTCCACCCATTTCAATAATAAATTCCATACTTTAGTTTTCATTATGATGAATTTTCGACAAAAGAGTTATTGTACAACAGACAAAATTTCAAAGTCAATAAATCATTTGATATGAAAGCTTTTGCTCACGTTTTTTCAAATGAATGGAAAATTTGGAAAGAAAATGTGTTTTTATTTTGTAAAGACCTCTAAGTTAAACTAAAATAAAAAGATATAGATTTTGCTGAAAAACGAAACTTGTAAACGGATTGGGTGTATTGTACACATGTTGTGCACGCTATATTATTATTCATAATAAATAAGTTGTAGATCCACACAGCTAGATTTGTATGTGTGTTTTATCTACAGAGACAGAAACAAAAGAAAAGGGCACCTCCCCACACAGTTTTATTTGTATGTGTGTTTTATCTACATAGCCAGAAACAAAAGAAAAGGGCCCCTCCCCCTCCACCGGCACCCCAGCCAAGCCTCGACTTCAGAGAAGGTAAGACTCAGCGCGTACTAGAAACAGGATAAGGTCAACTCCCAAACCATGTAAATTTTCTCTTGGTAATCTGATTTCCGCCTATATAAGTGTTACCAGCCAATCCAAACAAGAGTGATTTATATAAGTTAATATAACTTGTTGGATTGATGTTGTAAATTAAATAAAACTTTATTTTAGTATACTGTTAATTTCACCAACACATAGGATCATCTAGAGTTATAAATAGAATCATTCAGAATCCCCCCCCAAAATGACCCTTAACAAGGTCATATAGATTCACAACTGTGTTATGGTACCCGTCTTAGTTTGTCTGTGTTACTTCACCTGTTTTACTAAGCCCGTCTTACTACACCTGTCTATAATTGTCTTAACTATACCAATATTACAACACCTGTCTCACTATACCTGTCTAAATATATCTGTCTAACTACACCTGTCTTACAGCACCTGTCTAATTACACTTGTCTTACTACATCTGTCTAACTACATCTGTCTTACTACACCTGTCTTATTACACCTGTCTAACTACACCTGTCTTACAGCACCTGTCTAATTACACCTGTCTTACAGCACCTGTCTAATTACATCTGTCTAACTACATCTGTCTAACTACACCTGTCTTACAGCACCTGTCTAATTACACCCATCTTACTACACCTGTCTATAATTGTCTTAACTATACCCATATTACTACACCTGTCTAAATATCTGTCTAACTACATCTGTCTAATTACACCTGTCTAATAACACCTGTCTTACTGCACCTGTATAATTACACCCATCTTACTACACCTATCTATTCTTGTCTTAACTATACCCATTTACTACACCTGTCTAAATATATCTGTCTTACTACATTTGTCTAACTACACCTGTCTTACAGCACCTGTCTAATTACACCCATCTTACTATACCTGTCTATAATTGTCTTAACTATACCCATATTACTACACCTGTCTAAATATCTGTCTAACTACATCTGTCTAATTACACCTATCTAATTACCCCTGTCTAACTGCACCTGTATAATTACACCCATCTTATATAATTACTACACCTGTCTATTCTTGTCTTAACTATACCCATATTACTACACCTGTCTAAATATCTGTCTAACTACATCTGTCTAATTACACCTATCTAATTACACCTGTCTAACTGCACCTGTATAATTACACCCATCTTATATAATTACTACACCTGTCTATTCTTGTCTTAACTATACCCATATTACTACACCTGTCTAAATATCTGTCTAACTACATCTGTCTAATTACACCTGTCTAATTACACATGTCTTAACTACACCTGTCTTACAGCACCTGTCTAATTACACCTATCTAACTACACCTGTCTTAGAGCACCTGTGTAATTACACCTGTCTAATTACACCTGTCTAACTACACCTGTCTTACAGCACCTGTCTTACAGCACCTGTCTAATTACACCCATCTCACTACACCTGTCTATTCTTGTCTTAACTATACCCATATTACTATACCTGTCTTACTACACCTTTCTAAATATATCCGTCTAACTACACCTGTCTTACTACACCTGTCTAACTACACCTGTCTTACTGCACCTATCTTACTACACCTGTCTACCTACACATGTCTTACTACATCTGTCTTACTACATCTGTCTTACTACATATGTTTTACTACATCTGCCTTACTGCACCTGTCTAACTACACCTGTGTTACTATACTCATATCACTATACCTGTCTAACTTCACCTGTCTAACTAAACCTGTTTTACTACACTTGTCTAAATATACCTGTTTTACGATACCTGTCTAGCTTCACCGGCGTAATTATACCTGTCTAACTACTACTGTCTAACTTTACCTGTCCAATTACACCTGTCTTATACACCTGTCTTACTACATCTGTCTTTCTACACCTGTCTAACTACCCCTGTCTTACTACACCTGTCTAACTACACCTGTCTAACTACACCAATCTAACTACCCCTGTCTTACTACACCTGTCTTACTACACCTATCTAACTACACCTGTCTAACTACCCCTGTCTTAATACACCTGTCTAACTACACCTGTCTCACTTACCTGTCTAACTACATCTGTCTAACTACACCTGTCTAACTACACCTGTCTTACTAACCTGTCTAACTACACCTGTTTAACTACACCTATCTAACTACACCTGTCTTACTACACCGGTCTTACTACACCTATCTAACTACAACTGTCTTACTACATCTGTCTAACTACACCTGTATAACTACACCAGTCTTACTACACCTGTTTTACTAACCTGTCTAACTACACCTTTCTTACCACACCTGTCTAACTACACCTGTCTTAGTACACCTATCTAACTATACCTGTCTTACAACACTTATCTTACTACACCTGTCTATATACACCTGTCTTACTACACCTGTCTATCTACACCTGTCTAACTACACCTGTCTTACTACACCTTTCTTACTACACCTATCTAACTACACCTGTCTAACTACAGCTATCTAACTACCCCTCTCTTACTACACCTGTCTAACTACATCTGTCTTACTACACCTATCTAACTACACCTGTCTAACTACCCCTGTCTTACCAACCTGTCTAACTACATCTGTCTTACTAACCTGTCTAACTACACCTGTCTTATTACACCTATCTAAATACACCTTTTTTCTACACCTATCTAACTACACTTGTTTATCTACCCCTGTCTAACTACACCTATCTAACTCCACCTGTCTTACTACACCTATCTGACTACACCTGTCTTACTACAGCTATCTAACTACACCTGTCTAACTACACCTATCTAAATACACCTGTCTTACTACATCTTTCTAACTACACTTGTCTTACTACACCTATCTAACTACACTTGTCTTACTACACCTGTCTAACTACACCTGTCTTACTACACCGGTCTTACTACACCTATCTGACTACACCTGTCTTACTACAGCTATCTAAATACACCTGTCTTACTACACCTGTCTAACTACACCTATCTACCTACACCTGTCTTACTACACCTGTCTTACTACACCTATCTGACTACAACTGTCTTACTACACCTATCTAACTACACCTGTCTTACTACACCTTTCTAACTACACCTGTCTTACTACACCTGTCTTACTCCACCTATCTGACTACAACTGTCTTACTACACCTATCCAACTACACCTGTCTTATTACACCTGTCTAACTACACCTATCTAAATACACCTGTCTTACTACACCTGTCTTACTCCACCTATCTGACTACAACTGTCTTACTACCCCTATCTAACTACACCTGTCTTACTACCCCTGTCTTACTACACCTGTCTAACTACACCTATCTAACTACACCTGTCTAACACACCTGTCTAACTACACCTATCTAACTACAACTGTCTTACTACATCTGTCTAACTACACCTGTATAACTACACCTGTCTATCTACACCTGTTTTACTACACCTGTCTAACTACACCTATCTAACTACACCTTTCTTACTACACCTGTATTCTTATTACACCTTTCTTACTTTATCTGTCTTACTACACCTATTTAACCGTACCTGTCCTACTACACCTGTCTTACTTCACCCGTTCTACTACACCCGCCTTACTACACCTGTCCTACTACACCTGTCTCACTACACCTGTCCTACTACACCCGCCTTACTACACCTGTCATACTACACCCGCCTTACTACACCTGTACTACTACACCTGTCTTACTACACCTGTCCTACTACACCCGCCTTACTACACCTGTCTAACTACACCCGCCTTACTACACCTATTTAACCATACTTGTCCTACCACACCCATCTTACTACACCTGCCTAGTACATGGCTGATAGTTTATTTATCAAACTATTAATCAAATCAACTGCTCAACAGAACTACACAGAGTGAACCTCAAGAGACAAGCAGAAAGAGAAGAAAGGAAAGACGAAGACGAGGACACTCTAGAAGGCGATGATAGTTTTGTGGAAGATCATTCATTTTTTGAGATGCAAGATCAAAGACCTGATGAGGAGCAGACACCATACAGCTATGTACCTATAGGTATACAGTCAGTTATTTCTTTACTCTCTGAGTGAAATGTTTATTATGGGCAGATTGGTTGAGTGGTTAACACTTCGGCCTTCCACGCAGGCGGCCGGGGTTCGATCCCCGAAGTCGTCGCACGCATGGAATATCTGAGAAAGTGTTTTTCTCCTGCCCACACAACTCCAACAACCCAGGTGGAGTATAAAATTGTCTGGGGTGGATGTTGCGGTATCTGTGATGTAGCATTCAAGTGAGGTGGAAGCACGGTCCCACTACAAACAGAACACAATACATCTTCAGCACACACGCAGGCATAAACACATAGGGAGATATTAGTCAGGAGGCATAGGACTAGTAGTTAGCGCCTGATAAGGCAGCTCCTGCGAATTCCTCAAAATTGTATATCCTAATTGCATTAATTGTATATGTATGTACTGTAAAGCGCTTTAGAGTGGCTTATGTTTGCTAGATAGGGCGCTATATCAAATGTTGTATATTATTATTATTATTATGTTCCGTGAAAAGTTTCGGGGGAGCATAAAGTTGCCGCTTTGTCCATCCGTCCGTCGTACGGAGCATAACTTTACCCACATTTAAGCTAGGATCTTGAAACTTGGTGTGTACCTCACTCATACTAAGACAATGTGCACTTAACCAAATAAAGGGCCCACATCGCCTTATTTACAGAGTTATTGCCCTTTGTTTAAATGTCGGGTCTGGAGCATAGCTTTGCCCACATTTAAGATAGGATCATGAAACTTTCACTTCGTATGTACATAAGTCATACTAAGGCAATGTGCACTGTACCAAATTCAGGGCCCACAACCCCTTTATTATAGAGTTATTGCCCTTTCCTAAAATGTCATGTCCGGGGCGTAACTTTGCCTGCAGTTAAGCTATGATCATTGATCTTGGTGTGGACATCAGTCACACTATAAGGTGATGTGCACTGTACCGTATTTAGGGTCTGCAGTCCCTTGATAATAGAGTTATTGCCCTTTGCTAAAATATCAGACACATGTACATGTATGTATGTTAAGGTCATTGGAGTGTATTGATAAACGGAAACAGGAAGTACATCCCTAGTTGAAAATCCAATGTAGGGAGACAGTATCACAATTTCCGCAAATTCTAATATTTAATATTAAACTGATGAATATTGTATGTTTATTATTGACAGAACAGTGTGTTCTCTCAAAATTAAAGTATTTCAAAGCAATCCAGATATTAATTCAGTTTTTTTTTTATCAATGAGTCACATGTGTCCATTTTCTGTACTTCAGGAAACCGGCTACCTATTTCACTACTGTGAAGTTTTTCAAGAACGATAACTCTTGCCTGAAATTACTATGTGTATATGGTTTTACCATAAAATGGTAATTTTTATATCGTGTATAGAGAATTAATTTTACACAATTTCAGCATTTGTTAAATTGATATACATTAATGCAATACTAATATATGTCAGTATCATTTTTATTGACATTATTTTGTAAAAATATTGTGTCTTTCATTTTTTTTTCAAAATTCACTCCTTTTTACATAAATTTCCATTTAAAATCCTTAAAATTCTAACAACCTATATTTTTTTTGTGGCAGAAAATTTAATAAAGTTGATTTTGGGGAGCATACATCAGTTTCACTGATACTCTTGTTTCAGAATATACTCAGCTCATTGAATCAAACTGAGATTTTTGTTTACAAGGTTAAAAATATCACCGACATTCACTTTAATATATTTGTATATATATTGTATTATTTCTAATAATTGCCAGCCCTGTACTTATGTTTTCTCATGCAATTTATCACTTACCTGGGTGTTTAATTGAACAAGTACAGTATGTACAATACATGTAGCAACAAAGATCATTACCGTAAATACCATATTGGGATGAAATAACAGGACTTTGTTGGTACACAAATAGATATGATTTGAATCGTGGGAATTTTTATTTAATAAAAGATTATTAATTATTTATTTAATCAGCTTGTCATATCTGCTATGTGCTGTATAGAGATCTCATATCTGATTTCCCCCAGTGTAACTTTAAACGTATGGCACCCTGGTAAAAGAGCGTAAGTCTAGTAAACCAAAGGTCCTGGGTTTGATTCCTGGCGAAGACATTGAAAAAATAATGACCTCTGTTACAAGTATATGTTGAAGAAACCAAAAAAGCAAAATTGGTTATTGTATATACATGTAAGTGTTGATTTACTAGAAATAAGTACATGAATAAAAAAGTATTAATGCAGTTATTGAAAATTGTTAAAACTAACAGCTAGACTAATTCTAAGATATTTGTTTATAGAGACCACAGGGGCCGGTGAGAATTTGTGGAATCAGGATGTTGATGTGGCAACGAGGCTGGAGAAGATCCTACAGCAGAAACAAGCCAACCAACGTCAGGCTGAAGAGAGGCAGCGACTGGAGGTGAGTAGCTATAGGTCATAGGTCAAACTGGGGTCACCAGGGTTTATATTCATGAAACTGTTCTCATGCTCAGACTGAGGTTTTGTGCTCCCTATAGCCCAATTTCTTATTTAACCCTTTCACCACTGTAGACCATAATTGACTCATTCATATCAATGCAAAGTCTACTTAAGATACATAGGTGTGAAAGGGTTAAATTCAATGGCGAATCGCCACTGTTTTCAATCTTAAATTTGAGTATTACATGGATAGCTAATATTAATTAATAGGAATACTGAATAAAAAAAAGAAAAAGTTCATATTACAAAGAACGCACTAAGTTTATGTGTAATGTGTAAAAACGATCAATGTTGTAACACATGACCTGTGTATGATATAACAGTTTCATGCCGCAAGTTCAAGGCCTACACAAGGCAGTCGCCGGGTACTGCCACAGGTAGGTGGTTTTTCTATGGGTACTCCGGTTTCGTCACCACTAAAACGTGGCACGTCCTTTAATGACCGTAGCTGTTAATTGTTAATGAAGACTAAGGACTTAAAATACAAACAAACAAAATTATCATGCAGGTTATGGTAGAAAAAGGTTTACCTAGCATACTATTTAGTATATACTCCTTGGATCATTGTATACATGGGCTGGTAGTTCGTGGGCTGAATTGGTTTGCACTGTTAAGTGTAATGCATGTTTGTCTGTAGAAATTATTTTAACATATGTTATAATACATGTACTTCAGTTCAAGGAAATAAATAAGATGCTTGTATTCAGATTCTGATAATTGTGAAGGTGTTTACCTTTATAGTGTGTAGATTATACATGCCCAGATCAAGGGGACAAAAGGTTTGTCTGTCCATCTGTCTGACCATGTGTCTGTCAGTCTGTCTATCTGTCTGTCCATTTGTCTGTCTATCTGTCTGTCCATCTGTCTGTCCATCTGTCTGACTTTGTGTCTGTCAGTCTGTCTGTCTATCTGTCTGTCCATGTGTCTGTCCATCTGTCTGTCCATTTGTCTGTCCATCTGTCTGGCCAAGTGTCTTGCAGTTTGTCTATCTGTCTGTCCATTTGTCTTTCCATCTGTCTGTCTATCTGTCTGTCCATCTGTCTGTCCATCTGTTTGACTGTGTGCCTTTCTATCAATTGGGCATATCTTGCATGTTCTGTGTCTCTTGATAATGGAGTAATGTCATGCTAAAATAAGTTCCTGTTCCCCGATATCTATAGAGTTTAATGGCCTTTTGTTCGTAACTTGTCTAGGGCATTTTTCATATACTTTGTCAGCTACAATTGTCAGATGTTGTTTCTTATTGTGTATTAAAGATGGCATAGTACATATCACATACTAATATTTGGTCCAGTGTTCCCAACTAATTCAGAGTTATGGCCCTTTGTTCACCATTCATCACCTTGTCTGGGGTATATCTTATATACTCTAGCTGTCACATACAATTACCAAACTTCAAGAGTACTAAAAAGTGACAAATACTGAAACTGGGTCTCATGCACCATATATACAGAGTTATGGCCCTTTGTTAACCTTGTCTGGGACATATCTTACATATTCTATCACATGCTATTACCAATCTTCGAGATAACTACAAAGTGACATATATTGAAATTGGGTCTTGTGTCCCATTATATACAGAGTTAGAGCCCTTTATTTCTGTTTTTTTGCCGAATAAATTAGTAAGAGATGTAGAAAAGGGAAAAAACTGATTAATTAATATTTTTATTTGAAAAATTGAAAAAATAATGTTACTTTTTTAAAAAAAACAAGTTGATAAGAATTCAATAATAGATGTAGAATATAGTTGTATTTATGTTGATTGTGGTAAAGATTTAAAAATTGGGTCTGTATTTATGTTGATTGTGGTAAAGATTTAAAAATTGGGTCAATATGTTTCAAAAACAACAGCAAACAAAAATTCACCATGCAGAAACACTGTTTGGAACATCTATCACAAACTTAATCATTAAGACATGAAAACATTAAGAGAATATTGTATGACTTGACAAGGTGTATGAGAGTTATCGAAGGAAGAGAAATGCACTGGAACGCAAATTAATGGAAGAAATTCGTCAACATAAGAGGAATGCCAGGAAAGACGAGCGCAAGCTCAGGTTGCAGCGACGACAACAGGACAAGGCTGAGATGAAGCGCGAAAGCGAGATCTGCGCGGCGGTATATTTTGTCACATCAACTTTTAATATAATGTCACTTTAGTAGTAATTAGGCATACCCTGACATACATGTTTATTTTCATGGCAAAATTTTGCTCTAGTTTTTGTTAGCACTTTAAAAGCTTCTTTTCTCGTCAAGTCTTATTTTATACACCCTTTTAACAAAGGTTTGGGGGGTTTGGGGGGGTGGGGGGGTGTTAGGTATATAGATATCATCCTTTTCATCCGTCTATCTGTGATCCTTGTGAGTGCAACTCCTTCTAAACCATGGGTTAGATATTTTTGTAACTTTACACAGTGAAAGTACATCATATGTAGATGTGCTTGAAGAAACGAAATTGCAATTCAAGGAATTTACGATTGGACTACTTTTCCTGGAGTTATGGCCCTTTAAACTTTCTGCTCCAGAAACCTTGTAAGCACAACTCACCTGAACAGTTTGTTGGAATTTTTTGTAACTTGGCACAGTTAAAGAACATCATAATACTGTAAATCTGAACGAAGAAAGAAATTTGTGATTGAACCATTTTTCCTGGAGTTAAGGCCCTTGAAAATTTTATTTTTGCTCCAGAACCGTTGCAAGCACAAGCAGGGGGGACTATCTTTGTGAGCTCGATCACAGTTTCTCTTGTTGTTTTTGTTCCTAGCTGTATCTATAGTACTGTACTGTAGAAATTTTGTATTTTACATTTATTATCAAAAATACATGTTATTATTTTGTATTAGAGTCTGTAATCTATCATACTTTTGCTTCATTTTATTTTCACCTTAATTTATCTTTCATCCATGAAAGAAAGTGCAAATATTTAACCTGGTGCAAAAAAACCTACTACATATAGTCAATATTTACTATAAGTATATACCAGGACAAAGTCAATTGATGGCAAAATACACTATACATAATATAAAGCAGGTTGCTTTACTGTAAACAAAAGAAATGAAAAAATATTTATTCAAACTCATAACACAACAGTAAAGCACCTTTCTTCATCAGTTCCTGTTAAATTGTAAAAAGTGTAGAAAATATATGGTCCACACATACCTGCTAACCCCTGACTCTTCGAATGGGCGTCATGACTCTGTGTGAATCGATAAAGCTTGACAAAATTTTCGCATTCCACATTTTGATGGAAAAACTGTTGTGAATATGTGTTGTACAGTTATGTTTGTAGTTTGTAGAGATTCTGTATGTTTGAATATTTATTGTATTTTAAAGAATTCTTTATCATAATTTTTATGTGTCATGAATTAGAAAATTAAATATGGAGAGTATCATACACTGTGTGTGAAGTCAGATATTTTCTTGGGGGCCAAACATTTTGTGGTTTCCCAACAAAACACCATTTCGTGGAATATGAATTTATGGACAAATGGAGTATGGAGATTTGCTTTATATCAGAATTATAATTACATCATGGACCTATGAATTCGTGGATGGAGACTTCCCAGGATATCAAAAAAAACCATGAAAATTAAATATTTCACAGTATGTATCAGTACAATACTGTGTTTAAAGTTTAATTTTGATTGTGTTTGTTGCGTAATTCTGTTTTATATTTGTTAATTAAAGCATGTTAGTTGCAATAACTTAATTCTCATCATTATGCGAAACAACAATACGTTTTATTGTGTACAATATATATTGCAAGAAAACTGGTTATAATTTTCGTTATCATAGCATATTTCAATACTCGTTAATACTTTCTAACCTTACATGTATTGAAGTTTATATGTTTGTATTACCGTATTTATCCGTCAATAAGCCCATGCTTGGTAATAAGCCCACCAATATATATTGTTGTTTGGAGAAATGCCAATTATTTTTTTATTTTTTTCCCTGTAATATTAAGCACATCCCCCTAATTTCAATAAGTGATTATGTGTTTGGGCCCCATGTGCATTTTGCAGAACAAATACGGTAATACACTGTACTATGCATGTGAAATGTCAAAAAGAAAATGTACCGTATTGTTTCTATTAATCACCTGTGTTCCAATTTATCACCCACATTTACTTTACTGTAACTGTGAAACTTGTCAAGTTTTCCTTGAATTTCTGAAATTTGGGAAATCACACTGGCAATTACTCGAAGTTATGCGGTATGTTGTATTTTGCCTGCGCTTTCACCATTTTAATGCTTACACTCCTCACCCAGACAACGTTAAAAAAATGGAGACCGTTATACGAGGCGGACTTGACCTCGGAACAGCAAGTATGTTCACTCGCTCACTGGATACCTCTAGATCTGCTGTAGCAATCTAGAGGACTTATATTAAGGATCCCTGTCCCACTGTTCTTTAATTTTTTTCCGTATATACAGTAACCTCCCCTTAACTTACATACGTTTTGATATAACTGTAGCACAGATGGGCCAGGACACATCTGTTGTCCAGGTTGCTCAATCATTTTCAGCAATTTGCTATAACAATTCTGAAGTTTAGGGTTTGAATCCCAGTCTGGCCTGACAAAATATTTTTCACTTAGAACATGTTTGTTTATTGTACAGTGTTTTGTTTATGTTATCTACATTATGTTTCCATAAAAAATCCCGCAAGCCGCAAGTTATAATTTTCTTTTCAAAAAAGAGATATTAAAATTAAACAAAGTTACTGTCATACGATGTCCTATAAAAAAATGTATCCCCATTAAAATAGCTATCCAGATCAGTATTTTGTGGGGGATCCTGGATAGGTATTTTACCGAAGATGAACATTATATATTAAATCGGCGAAATCATTTTCTGGTGCATAGTAACAGTTTTTGGCAGTGGAATGGGGATCCTGAACTGCATGTTATAAACAGTCTATGGCGGCGCTTACAAACTTGATTTATACTTACGGTGTTATATTGGGTATCCAAACCGAGAGACTTCATTTTTGATTGATAATTTGCAGCTTTCAGTTGAATCAGATAAAATGGACATTTGTTTATCAGTATATATTATGTATATATATCCGGTGCAAAAATAAGGTAACTTAAAGTAACAAATGCTGGCATATTAGTTTGCAGTATACATGTACAACATTTCCTTTGTATCGGAAAATTGAAAAATATATAACTTATCTGTTGTGCTTACATACAGGCTGATATATTATTGTATATAAAAGTGTGACAAAAAAAACTACTCTACATGCAGATGTGACTGACTCAGCTGTTGTTTTTACAGGTATAACTGACTTACCTGTTGTTTTTACAGGTGTGACTGACTTACCTGTTGTACATACAGGTGTGACTGACTTACCTGTTGTATATACAGGGGTGACTGACTTACCTGTTGTACATACAATACTTTAATTATACATGTGTTATTATTGTATCTTATACAGGTGTGACTGACTTACCTGTAATATATACAGGTGTGACTGGCTTACCTGTAGTACATACAGGTGTGTCTGACTTACCTGTAGTATATACAGGTGTGACTGACTAATCTGTAGTATATACAGGTGTGACTGACTTCCCTGTAGTATATACAGGTGTGACTGACTTAGCTGTAGTACATCCAGGTTTGACTGACTTACCTGTTGTACATACAGGGGTGACTGACTTACCTGTTGTACATACAATACTCTCAGCTGTTGTTTTTACAGGTATAACTGACTTACCTGTTGTTTTTACAGGTGTGGCTGACTTACCTGTTGTACATACAGGTGCGACTGACTTACCTGTTGTACATACAGGTGCGACTGACTTACCTGTTGTACATACAGGGGTGACTGACTTACCTGTAATATATACAGGTGTGACTGACTTACCTGTAATATATACAGGCGTGACTGACTTACCTGTAGTATATACAGGTGTGACTGACTTAGCTGTAGTACATCCAGGTTTGACTGACTTACCTGTTGTACATACAGGTGGGACTGACTTACCTGTTGTACATACAGGGGTGACTGACTTACCTGTAATATATACAGGCGTGACTGACTTACCTGTTGTACATACAGGTGGGACTGACTTACCTGTAGTATATACAGGAGTGACTGACTTACCTGTTGTATATACAGGTATGACTGACTTACCTGTTGTATATACAGGAGTGACTGACTTACCTGTTTTACATACAGGTGTGACTGACTTACCTGTAATATATACATGTGTGACTGACTTACCTGTTGTACATACAATACTCTCAGCTGTTGTTTTTACAGGTATAACTGACTTACCTGTTGTTTTTACAGGTGTGACTGACTTACCTGTTGTACATACAATACTTTTATTATACATGTGTTATTATTGTATCTTATACAGGTGTGACTGACTTACCTGTAGCATATACAGGTGTGACTGACTTACCTGTAATACATACAGGTGTGACTGACTTAACTGTTGTACATACAGGTGTGACTGACTTACCTGTAATACATACAGGTGTGACTGACTTACCTGTAATATATACAGGCGTGACTGACTTACCTGTTGTACATACAGGGGTGACTGACTTACCTGTTGTATATACAGGGGTGACTGACTTACCTGTTGTATATACAGGTGCGACTGACTTCCCTGTTGTACATACAGGTGTGACTGACTTACCTGTTGTACATACAATACTTTAATTATACATGTGTTATTATTGTATCTTTACAGTCTGATATATTGCGAGGAAGAGGGGGACCCCTGAGGAAGGCAGACCTTGGTCTTGTTGGCCCCACATCTGGCTTTACCAAACAGGTACATATACTGTTAAAATGCATGCTACAATAAATGCACTGTGGTATATAAAGCATATAGACGAGAAATGTTGGACAACAACCCAAGCAAACTTTAGTTACTTTGAGGAGATCATCAAACAGCAAGATGGAATTGCCTGGCCATCTTAAAGTTTGTGAAACAAAACTGAAGAAAGCAGCAGTTAATTAAGATTGTATATTGATATCGTTAAAAATCCTACTCCTTGAGAATAGGTAAAAGGATTTCAACCTGATTTTGTCTGGAGTATACATGGGCCAAGGGGATATAATGTGATATAAAGAGAGGGTGTTGTCTCATTGGCATCCTCGATACTCCAGGGCTCATATTCATGAAACTGTCCTCATACTCAAGCATGGATTTTGTGCTGAATTTCTTGTTTCCATTATAAATTAATAGAAAAAAAATCTTGTTTTGTCAATGATCTGGAAAAAAAATGAAGAAACTTAAAGCCGAATACTGTTTTTAATGTTTATATTTGACTTTTTGATTGTTTGACATGATTTAAGTGAGTTACAAGAAAGATGATTTGAGCACGGAATCCATGCTTGAGCATCACTCAACGGTTTCATGAATAAGGGCCCTGTGAGGGAGGGATTCATTCACTTTTGCTCTCTTCACTTCCATAATGAGAGTGAGTTTATCAGTACAATGAACAGTAGTAAGCAATATAAAAGCATAGTAATCAAACGTGAAGGGCAAAATCAACATTGGGTGAAAAAAGGATTTTACTTGCATAAAGGTGAAAAAAATTCTAGGTGAAAGTTTCCCGGTATACAGTAGTGACCTTGACCTACCTTTTTGGTTACAGAAGGAGGAGCCTCCCTTATCCCCTACAAACAGTTCAGGGGATGACGAGTCGTAAGTATTCAAATGCATCATGACATTCACCCTTTCACCCCTATGTAACTTTAATGAACCCTACCATGCATTGATCTGGATGAGTCCATTATGGTCTTCAGTGGTGAAAGGGTTAAGGCGAACAATATTGGCCTGCTGAAACTGATAACACAGGATAGGTCAAACAATTCTATCTCTGAAAACATGCAATTATTTAATATTGTTATGGGTAATTGATAAAGAATTGCTGTGATTTTCATGAATTACATTTTGACTCTGATAAAGATTTTATATGGCCGCCATTGGAATTCGATAAATCTTGTCTGACATACTTTCTACCTTAAAGTAGCCCACAATGCTCATGAATGTATATGCTTGACAAAATTTGTGTATATTTAATGAGGCTGTGCAATCTTATTGGCTAATGGATTCTGGATGCCTTTTAAAGGAATTATCAGATTTTCATTGAAATTTCCTGAGGTAGACGTAGTGTAGTATTTGTCTCAATAAAAGGTTGTACTTGCATCTCAGTTGTGACCTTAAGGATCCCTGTCCCACTGTGGTCTTTCGTATACACAGTGACCTCCCCTTGATTTCGCTTTAGCCATTTCATCCCTATGTAAATTTAGTAGATCTAGAGTATCCCATGCTTTGATATGGATGAATCCATTATGGTCTACAGTGGTGAAAGGGTTAGATTTAACTGTAAAACAGTTTGTCTGTGACACTTCCGTTGACCAGTCGGTTAGAGTGACAGTGTAACAATTTGAAGTCCAGAGTTCGAATCCTGGTGTAGCCAAACTGTTTTGATTTAAACCCAGAACACTATTTTTGATTTTTGTTTTAATTATCTATTTATAAAAGTCCTGCAAGGTGTACTTTTCTCTTCAAAAATGATTTATCAAAGTTATACAATGTAGTCATTTCGAAAAAAATAAGTTTCGAATGCATAGTTTCATTTTTTGGCAATGATACAGGGATCCTTAAATTATATGCATAAAGTCCCTGTGGAATTTATTGTAAATGTGTGTCTTGGATAACTCTTATATTAACCTCTCTGTGACCAGGACAAGCTCTGAGTTTCCATGTAAGTATAGAGGTTGGTGCTGTCAAACTTTCTTCTGATGTCTTGTTTTTTCTCCATCACATCAATTTAGCTGTGAGGTGAAGCAATGAAAGTGATTTACGCTATAAAGACAGCGGACTATTTAAAATCACTATGAACATTTTTTATTTGTTTTTTTACTTCAACTTTTTAATAATTTAATGTGTGTGTGTTTTTACTTTTCTTTTTATAATTTTTTGATACCACTGATTTTTAGTTGGAATTGGTTTCTATTTGCTTTCAGAGAAATCATAAGCAGTCTAAGTCACAAAATTTGAATTTAATGGCTTTCAATGTCTTTCAAATTTGTTGAAACTTGGGATTAGCATTGTCTAGTATCTTACATAATGGCAAAGGCTAACTTCAATATTGAACAAATTCTATAGACATTGTATAATAAAATAGCATAGTGTGTGCTAATTGTAGACATTGTATAATAAAATAGCATAGTGTGTGCTAATTGATCCTTTAGTTTTTGTATATATTACCTTTAGTTATCAAATATGACCAGATTCTGATTAAACTTGGTAAATTTTAAACTAAAATGTAAAGCATTTATGGACAGTATAATATGCTCTGTTCAGTTTTCATTTCGTTACCTGTTGTATTTTAATATTTTGATGTATTTTGTTACAACATTGCATCAGAAGGAGTCTATTCCGTATTTATCCGGTAATAAGCCCATCCCCTACTTTCAGTTGATCTGTAATAAGCTTATCCCCTACTTTCAGTTGATCTGTAATAAGCCTATCCCCTCCTTTCAGTTGATCTGTAATAAGCTTATCCCCTGCTTTCAGTTGATCTGTAATAAGCCCACCCCCTACTTTCAGTTGATCCGTAATAAGCCTATCCCCTACTTTCAGATGATCTGTAATAAGCTTATCCCCTAGTTTCAGTTGATCTGTAATAAGCTTATCCCCTAGTTTCAGTTGATCTGTAATAAGCTTATCCCCTAGTTTCAGTTGATCTGTAATAAGCTTATCCCCTTCTTTCAGTTGATCTGTAATAAGCTTATCCACTACTTTCAGTTGATCTGTAATAGGCCCATCCCCTACTTTCAGTTGATCTGTAATAAGCCTATCCCCTACTTGGCCCCCTGGGTTTATTGCAGGATAAATACAATGTCTCCCTTTTTTATACAGTGAGTCTAACTGATGCTGCATGGCACATGAGGGGTGTGTTTGTTCCACACCGATAGTCTTTTTGGTATTAATTTGGTATTATCTGATATTTCAATATTTCTGAAGCCTTTCAATGTATGCATTTTCTTGTACCATTCAAATATATGTCACCAATGTAGATATAAATCTACTTTTATTCATAAATGATACCATTTGTATGGTCAGTGTAAGGTGGCTTGGTCATGAATTAAGCTAGAGATCATAGTGCATTTTACACTCATTGCAAAGTCGTTCATATTTAACAGGCTTGCCAAAATGGCAAAATGGCTGTGGTACAGTGGGTCAGTGTCTGTCCTTCCACGTTAATTGTTTTCTGTCATCAACAAAAAGGCCCAGGGTCATAATATTTAGCTTGTAGCATGCTTGAGTGAAGGAGTTTCAAGTTTGTTCAAATGAATGACCTTGACCCCCTTTCAAGTTCACTTGGGTTAAACACCTTTAGACAACTATATACTGTTACCTTTGTCTCAATGTTAGTTTGCTTGCTATAAATATGGTTTGATGTTTTAGACATTGACCCAAGTAGAAGGTCAGAGTTGTGATTTTTTTCCCCAACATTGAATAACAGATGAGTGATACAGACCCAAAGTTCAAAAAATCTTTTACAAGTAGATAATTCCTTTAAGGGTTACTACCATATTTGACTGGAAATAAGCCCCCTCCCCTAGGGAAAAAAGATTGACCTAAATCGGGGAGGGGGCTTAATTAACTGCAGGCACCCATCCTGTTCCCAGGACATTTGCCAAAGTGAGGAGGGGGCTTATTTGTGAGTGGGGTCTTATTTGCCGTCAAATACGGTATATGTGCTATTGATATGTAGTACATTTCTTGTCTTTCATTTCAGCACCTATTTCTGACATTGACGATTACATCGTGGAGAAGGCGAACGGAAATGTGGACGTCCCCGGAGTTACAGACGTAGACAGTTTCAGTCTTAGCGAGAAACTGCCTTACACCTTCATACACTAGTTCCTGAAGGGTGACTAATAGACCCATCAAGTTTCGGAGGAATGAACAATATCTATATTTCTGTATTGATGTATTAATATCTGAAAATAAATATTTATATGTAATATAACTGAGGATGAATGTTTTAATGGGAAATGAAGACTATGTCGAAGGTACATTAACTGTTAAAGGATCCCAAGACCACTGCTTAATCCTTCCACCCCTATGTAACTTTAGTAGACTCTACCATGTATTGATATCGATGAGTCCATTATGATTTACAGTGGTGAAAGGGTTAAAACAGTAACTAAGCAAAAGAAACCAATTTTGCTGACATGACTGGCTATAGCTTAGATAAAATAATTTCTGAAAAGAAAACCAAGCCTTTTAGGACTTTTATGAAAATAACAGAGAAGAATCAAACAAAACAATAATCAACATAGTGTTCTAATTAAAAAAATAAAATAAATTTAAGACCCAGACTTTAGGTTGTTAAACTCATTCACCTCTAAAGACACATTTGGACTCTTCCAATTCAAAGGTTGGAATAGTTCATTATAAAAATGTCAGGGGTAAATGAGTTAACTAAAGCTCTGAATAGCTGAGCAACCTGGTCAACAGTTCTTGCCCAACTGTGCTGCAGTTATATCTAAAATATAATTAAGGGGAGATTACTGTTTATATGAAAACCTACAGTGCAGTGGGACAGGGATCCTTAAATGAAACCTTGATATAATGCCATTTACTTGCAACCTCATTTTACTGCCTATATATTTCAAGGCTTCTTTAACTCATTCACCCCCTACATATCTAAACTGGACTTGCCCAGTCTTTGATTTGGTAAGGTTCAAGTGTGACTTTAGGGATGAATGGGTTAAACAATTGCTCTATAGGTCTCTCTCAATATATTGTCAAACCTCTATATAATGCCAAAATTATTTTGGCGTATGATGGCAGTATATCAAGGTTTTACTGTATATAAACTTTGCTATATATAAACAGGTTATTATGCAAGATGCATCAATGTACAAAGTATGAAATAATTATGTATTTTAGGAATCATGGGTTTTTAGCTCACCTGGTCCAAAGGACCATGGTGAGCTTATGCCATACCGCAGCGTCCGTCGTCCGTTGTCCGTCCGTCAACTTTTCCTTTAAAACGCTACTTGTCCTGAACAGCCGAGTAGATTTTGACTTAATTTGGTCTGGAGAATCCTTAGGCCAAGGGGAATCAATTTTGTATAAATGGTGGGTTTGGCGCCCCTTGGGGCAGAGGGGCGGGGCCCAATGGGGGAAATGGGGACAACCTTCAAAATCCTTCTCCTACCCTAGGGATTAAGGAATTTTATCCTAATTAAGTCTGGAGCATCCTTGGGCCAAGAGGACTGACTCAGTTTTGTATAAACCGTGGGTTTGGCCCCCTAAGGGCCTGAGGGGCGGGGCCCAATAGGGGAACATAGCAAATTATTCTTTAGAATCCTTCTACTTCTGTAGGAAAGACAGGATTTGGTCCATATTTGGTGTTGAGCATCCTTGGGTTAAGGGAAACCAATTTTGTATAAATGGTGGGTCTGGCCCACTTGGGGGCTGAGGGGCGGGGCCCAATATGGGAAATATAGCAAATTCTTAAAAATCCTTCTTCTTCTGTAGGAATGACAGGATTTGGTCCATATCTGGTGTGAAGCATCCTTGGGTAAAGGGGAACCAATTTTGTTTAAACCGTGGGTGTGGCCCCCCCCCGGGACCTGAGGGGCTGGGCCCTATAGGGGAAATAGAGGTAAAACCTTTAAAATCCCTCTTCTACCATAGGGATTAAGGGATTTTATCCTAATTTAGTCTGGAGCATCCTTGGGCCAAGGGGATTCAATTTTGTATAAGCAGTGGGTGTGGTTCCCTGGGGGCAGAAGGGCGGGGTCCAATAGAAGAAATAGAGGTAAAACCTTTAAAATCCTTCTTCAACCATCGTGATTAAGGGATTTTATCCTTATTTAGTCTGGAGCATCCTTTGGCCAAGGGGACTCAATTTTGTATAAACGGTGGGTATGAACCCCCTAGGGGCATAGGGGTGGGGCTCTGTTTGAAATTTGTTATATCTCAAGTACTGGATGGATCTTCCTGAAATTTCATATGTACTTACAGCACCTACCATGGAGTGCTATATCTTTACTTCATACCAATTATTTTAAACATATTCATGTGAGCGATACAGGCCCTCTGGGCCTCTTGTTTAACTTATAATTTATATTTAAAATTAAAAATGCCCGCCTTATCGACAGTCCACACAAATTTGAACAGCGTATTGTCGCATGCTGATTGGCAAACAAAGTAGTACTTTAAAATTTTAACAAACACTTTAATTTTATTCCACAATTCAGTATCAATACAATTGCGTATGATATGTCTATAGGGTGATTTAAGTTTATCAATAGAAATCTGAGCTGAAAGTTAGATTTTAGATTGTTCCGGTTTTTCCCGGGAACAAATTTCGCGCATTGATAAATACAGTGAACACTGTGAATCCGACCTTGACCTCCACGAGGGAGTTATTTTTGGAAGTTAATTCGAAAGTTTCTCTTTGCTCATTTTGTGAAGAATCCAGTCGTGAATTTATTTGTTGATTGTATGGGAATCTGACTACAGTCGGTAGATTCTACAACAGCCTCGTTATTTGACATGTCGTGATCAGAAACTGAAGAAACCGTGGCTGCGAGACGAGTGAAACTGATATCGTTTGAAGTGAGTGATCTTGCGACGGAGCACAGGGGTTTGTTACAAATGTCTGAAATGTTTATGTGTGCTGCGACTCATATCAGTAGGTCTGTAACATATGTGTCAGTAGGTCTATAGAATATGTGTATTTCAGACATTTGTAACGAACCCCTGTTGATCAGTACAGTGTAACAGACGATATTTCTGATTATTGCATGAGTGTTAAAATTGTTTCCATTGCCAGCTATTGGTGATTTCAACCGATGTGCATTTTGTACGATATTGCAGACATTGGTCTTGTTTTTGTTGTAATAAAAGTATTTTTTATTTACTTTTTTCTTTTGCACATAAATTTACAACAATGCCCAGTGATATTTCAGCAGCCGTCATGTTTATTTACATTGAATATTGTAGTTGCGGTCAGTGTTGTATTAATACGCTAAGAATTGTGTCTCGTGCTGCATGGTAATTAAAGTCCCATCAACGACACAGCTTTCAAAGAGGCTATATAGTGACAATGCCATGCAAATGTTAATATAGTTATTTTACCTTTAAAACTTGAATTAAAAAACAACAAGCAGAACCAAGTTAGTAAATTTCATCAAGTTTATTAAATTGTAATCATTATAGTGTATGATATGACCACACAAGCTACAAAACAAGTGTTAATAAAGACGATGAAGTGATGTATATTTTGTCATGATTAGGGCCCTGTATCAGTAGATACAGGTGCCCTAGCTATAGTAATCATGCACTCTGTCTATCTGTCTGTCTGTCTGTCCGTCCACAAATTTTGTTCCTGGCTGATAACTTTGGTATTAATTGACCGATTTACATGGTTCCAGGATGGCCCCAGGGTCTGCCCTACCCTTACAGACTTAACCCCTGGGTCATAACTTTGAAACGGTCCAGATCCCCACCCAAATTCTATATATACAAATGCTAGGCAAAAAGAGACAAATGCAGTCATGATATTATAATTGATCCTGGGGTCTGGCCACAACCCTAGGGACCTAGTTTCTGAGTCACAGCTTGGAAACAGTTGAGATCCCCACCCCATAACCATACATAAAATTGCTGGGCATGAAATATCTAATACATATATGCTATGATTGGCCTTGGGGTCTGGCATATTTCCTTGAATCTCATTTGGAGAATATTTTGCTATGATTGCTTAGATATTCAGGTGAGAAATACAGGCCCTTTGGGCCTCTTGTTTGGTATAAAGAAAAGCTGCAGGTATTATAAAATGTAGAGATAATTATATGTAATACTATGATCACAAAATAATTAGCTTAGTAATTCAGATTATATATTTCTTCTAGACATTGTCTAAAGTTTCACTGCCAATTATGTACTTAAATACATGTAATACTATGATCACAAATTTTTTTTANTGATCACAAAATAATTTGCTTGGTAATTCAGATTATACATTTTTTCGAGACTTTGTCTAAAGTTTCACCACCAATTATGTACTTAGATACAATTAGATATTTATATATTTAATGGACTCATTTTACAAAGTATGGAATGGGTGGGGGAAGGGGGATAACTCCCATAACATAGTTCACTAATTAGATAGAGTCTGCAATATAGGTAATATATATATATTTGTTATAAACCGTACATAGAATGCAAGTGATAATAATACAATATCAGATTGAGGACCGCACAGTCCTTGGGTTACGTATGGTCCTCAACTGAACACTGTACAGGATCCAAAGCGAATGTTATTGCAGTATGAATTCACAGTAATAATGCATAATGTATATGGTAAAATTGCCGAGTATGGGAGAATATTAATGGAAAGCATAACAATATCATGATAATCAGCCAGAGATGCACTCTTGTACGAATATATGTTTTTTTGTATAATTGAGTGTTATTTCCAACAAAGATAGGGACTGGAATATATATACTCAACACAACCATTATTTGACTGTAGGGAGGGGGGGAGGTCATCCGCTGTATTCAAGTTTAGCACGTTTGACACAAACAAGTTTTACTGTGCTCCGGCCGGCCTTTATGTCTTCTCATTCATTCAAACCAACTGCTATTTTGTTGACTACATACCAAATTTTGAATTTAAAAATGTACCAATCGTAGACTGCAAAAAAATCCGTTTCTGTGATCAGGTATCTCATTACCCATCCTAACTGCTTAAATTCCATTGTATTTTACAGCAAGGATTCTGTGGCCACTGAAAGTCTGCAGCAGTGTAATCTGTTACATAGATTATAAAGCAGGGATTCATCAGCAGCTGAAAACCTGTATCATATATCTAATTAAATACTTGAATGAAAATAGTATTAAGGCCTGGCCTGCATCCGATCTGGATGCCTTATAGGAATCACTGTGTCTATCTGTCTGTCCATCCACACTTTAGTTTCCAGAATGCAAAATACCAATCTTTCTGAAATTTGGCAAGATAAAGCACTTTGATATGTACATGTGTAATAGGGGTTTAAATACTTTCTTAGGTACATTGGTTAATTGTTACTTCGGAATCAAAGACTAATCTTTTTATCATTTGACATGGCGATACTCTTGGATATATAGGTATGTGGAATAGTTTTTTTGGTTTTTTTTCTAAGTTCATGGTCAGGGTAACTGTCCCCTATCAGACCTCTGTGAAACATATATAAATACCCGATACACCACTGCTATCTTCTGTCAGACCTCTGTGAGACATACATACATAGATACACCACAGCTATCCTCTGTCAGACCACTGTGAGACATACATACATGGATACACCACTGCTATCCTCTATCAGACCTCTGTGAGACATACATACATAGATACACCACAGCTATCCTCAGTCAGACCACTGTGAGACATACATACATAGATACACCACAGCTATCCTCTGTCAGACCACTGTGAGACATACATACATGGACACACCACTGCTATCCTCTATCAGACCTCTGTGAGACATACATACAAAGATACACTACAGCTATCCTCTATTAGACCTCTGTGAGACATACATACAAAGATACACGACTGCTATCCTCTATCAGACTTCTGTGAGACATACATACAAAGATACACTACAGCTATCCTCTATCAGACCTCTGTGAGACATACATACATAGAAACACCACAGCTATCCTCTCAATAGCAGGATTCCATATTTGATCATAAGCCTGTGATTGTGCTGAATCCCAGTAAGCCCTGATGGCCCTGTGATTGTCCCCAAGTGTCTGGTAACAGATCCCCAGGAGAGTGTGGACTGTCCAGTATTTGTGTCCTCCTTGGTCATCATCACTCTGGACCTCTATGAGGAGCCTTAATGCGTCATCACGCCCTGTAGTATCTCCAAGTTCATGACAGCACAGGAAGGACAGGAACAATGCATAGGGTAGTGGTGGGATAGACACATCTGTCTGTTCTTTTAATATTTCCTGACAGAGATGAGGAAGATACAAGCCTTTCTTTGTAAATGACAATATGCCTGTGTACATTTTCTTCAGCCTGTCTGAGGAATGTTCAAATTGATGATACAAATGGCTATACATTGCCTGTAGTTCTGGATGAAAATCTCTATATCTGAAGTAATATGATGCTAGTTTCATCACTTGTTTGCACATTTCCAGAGTTTTAAAGAAATTTCCAGTCAAAAAATGAAAAGTTGCCAAATGTAGCAGTTCAGTTCCCATGGAGGCTTTGCGAATCATCCAGTGTTTACATTTCCTTAGACTTCTGTACCTGGTCTTGTTGTCTGTAGCAACCATGTGCTCCGGATAAACCTGCTCTGTTGCAAGATCATGAAGGTTTTGCATAGCACAAGTGAATGTGAAAAGTTCATCTGATTCTGACTGTGATGTCGATAATGAATTAATTGCCTTCCTGAAGACAATCAGTTTACTCGATGCATCTTGATTCGTGATATTTATGTATCGCAGATGACACATAAGTGTTCTATCTTGTATGTATGCAGTGTCCTGTGTAGTCTTGGGACATACAAGTTCAGCTTGTATTGAAGAATCACACATATGTTCCCATATTGAAGTTTTAAAGAAGTTTCCTACTGAAAGACACATCCACTTCATCTGATGGTAGTTGCTCAAAACATCTAACAGAATTTGCTGATGTTGTCCATGGACTTTCCTTTTGAATAAGTTGTTGGCTGGGATGAAGTAACTGGGACAGAAACCTGCCCTGACGAAAGCAATTAGTATTTTGAAGCAAAACCAAAAACAATAAAATAGGTTTTTCTCTTGCCAGAGTAGTTGGTTGGAATTCTCAATGGCATGAAAAAGGATTATCTTCAAAAAATAGGAGCACAAGATATCGTCATCCCCAATGGTTTCTTTTAATATTCCTTTTATTTGTTTCAAAAAATATTTCAGCAAAGTATAAACTTTGAATTGGATGTGACTAAAGGAGTGAACTAAAGATCTCTCTGCTGTTGCAAATGAAAATCTCCATTGGAGAAAAGTGTTCTTAGAACACTTGTCTCCAACTGGGACAAGATGACATCCATGGTGTACGATATTGTCTATCAAGGTTTGACGTGGCCATCCATACAGACGTGTACGTGTAATCCATTCATTAGCTTCACTTGGCCAACTATGACATGGAAAACACATAACATTGTCGTATTGTCCACCTTTCATTGTGTCTGTACAGGCTGGTCCATTCGATTCCACTTTCAGCCTTATTTGTTTATCCATGCCACTGACTATGTGCTCTCTGAAGATATCACTGGAAACAAACATCGACTCCTCAATTCTAACTAGTGCATTAGTTACCCATAAGTGATTGCTCTTTTGTAACTCAGGAAGCTGTAGGAAGACATAGCCAGGGCGGCAATCTGCTGCTCTTGCGTACAGAATTGTTTTGTGTGCCATATTTGGAGGAATACACTGATCAGGGTACATAACTATAAAATCCGTCAAAATGTACATTATGTCTACATCTGAACCCAATAGATTAAGTCCCTCTGCAGTACTTCCAGCTCGAAAGACAGACAGTGATTCACTCCATTCAGAATTCTCCATTGAATCATAAGACTTTCTTCTGATATCTACCTCTTCTTGTGTCAGTGAGAAAGCCCTTTCGATGTATTTTGACAGAAGCACTGACATCCGCTCATTCTCTGTTGAATCCATCATCAGAAGTTTATCTTCAGGACTTAATCTGTAATGAAGAAACTGAAGCTTATAAAGAGGAAGACTGTTGTTATCTCTGCCTTTTTATCAACTGAACATTCAGTGTGAATTGTTAAATACATCTGTATATACATGAATGTGTTGATCAGACACTGAAATACATTGAGGATTAAGTATAAAAGCTGACTGATAGCATACAAAAATTCAAGCATCATTCAATTTTTACTGATTACTTAGATTCACCAGTGTGTTGACATTTTTCTATCCTGTTTTATATAAATTGATAGGAAATGACGGAAATCAGTGATGGTTGCCTGTCTAGAACATAATACAGTAATGGCGGAGCGTGACAGTAAATTTAATGATTTGCCCTTGAATTACGTATAATTATATATATTTTTGAGTATAGCAGAAAACCAATAATTTTCATACGTGCCTAGCAGGAGTATATTTGTATTGTGGTACGTATCGTATCGTAAGCGTCAAACCGCGATACGTATTGTATCCTGAGGTATTCATATCGTTGCAGCCCTAGTTGCCATACTAGGGACTACAATTGAATTTTCTATCTACCGGTATATTTTCAATTTCAAAAGTATTTTATTGGCAATACATATATAATACAAACATATAAGTTAACATTAAAGAAGATATTAGAACAGTATTGACAAAAGAATAAGACAACAGGCTCTGCCTATATCAGTCTTCTTCTATTTCCGGAAGCTATATACAATGCTTAAATATATAAAATGTTGTAATTCGTTTTCCTCTCACACACATGCACACCCACACCCACACCAGCTTATGTCTAATACTCGTTATTTAAGGGACAAAACTTGCCTGAATAATAATAATAATAATAACAATACATGAATATGCATTTGGAATTTATCTAGCACGTATAAGTAACGAAACATTTTGATGATTTAATATAAGAGTCAACATGTATAAGAATAGTTTTATTTAATTGGTCCGATGCATTACTAATACCATATACTAAACAGCGCAGATTTAAATATCCTACTAGATTATAAATAGTGGTAATATGATGCCTAATATTTGAATACAGAGGACATTGAAAGATAAAAACGTATTAGATCTTCCCTCTGTACACCACATACACAGGAAGCATCATCAATCAGATGGTCTTGTAACTTATCAAAGTTAAGATCACTTTTAAAATTTCTTAGCTGACATAAAATGATGTTAAGTTTCCTCGGAACACAGTTAATAAAAGTTTCTGAGACAGATGCATCAAAGGTTTTTTTAAGTTTCTTTTTAAAAGATGAAATTGAGATGGAGTCCCGTACAGTGCTATCAAGTGCATTCCATTTTACCATTGTAGAAGGGAAGAAGCTATTCATATAAGTAGTAGTTCTTGTCTGTGGTATATTAAAGAATCTGTTATTTCTGAAGGTATAGTTATTATTTACATTTAGAAATGATTTAATGATATTATCGAGATAAGTTGGAGTGTAATTATTAAGAATCTTATATACTAATGTTAGTTTATGATTTTGTCTTCGTGTGTGTAATGTTTTAAGTTGTGTTTCAGAATACAGAATGTGATGAGATATACCTCGTCTGAGGCCAGTAATTAAACGCATAGCTTCTAGTTGAACTGATTCTAAAAGATCTGATTCAGATTTGGTACAATTATCCCATACTATATCAGAATATTCTAGCACTGGTCTTATATAAGAGACATATAATGTTTTTAATGTATTCCTATCAACTGTAGTTTTTAAAATTCTAAGAATACTTAGTCTAGAGTTTGCTTTTTTATAAATATTTGAAATGTGATCTGAACAAGTCCCTTTACTGTTAAATGGTATATATTTTTTAGGTCACCAGAGCCAAATGCTCAGTGTATTCATCAATGGTATAGCAGAGAAATCACATATTCTATCGTCACTTCAACTGCATATGAAAAACTGCAGTGAATATAAAGTACCATTCTGATTAGTCAATATTAAAAGTGATACCTTCACATGATTGGGAAAATATTACATTAGTTTTCATCCTATAAATAATTTCCAATATTTCTCTGGTAAAATTTGATAAATACATGTGTATTTGCAAACCAAATTGTGCTTTTGAAAGACACATTGCACCACTTAATGATAAAGGGTGACCCTGTATTTGGTGTACTTTTTTGTGCGGGGGTGGGGGGTGGGGGTTACAAAAGATGTATAGAAACAAGAGTCTCAGAGGGCCTGTATCGTTCACCTGGAAGTGTTAGCGAAATTGAAGTTGAAAGAGTTGCTGTGCATGTATTACATGGTTAGTCAGTGTTTATATTTATATGCAATTGGACAAAATCCTGTCATTCCCACAAGAAAAGGAGGGATTTTAAGAATTTGCTATGTTTCCATAATTGGACCCGGCCCCTCTGCCCCCAGGAGGGGTCAGACCCATTGTTAATACAAAATTAGTTCCCCTTCACCCAAGGATGCTTTAGACCAAATATGGACATAATCCTGTCATTGCTATAGAAGAAGTAGGATTTTAAAGCTATTTTTCTATTTGGCCCCGCCCCTCTGCCCCAGGGGGTTAAAACACCACAGTTTATACAAAAATGGTCCGCCTTCACCTAACGATGCTTCGTCCCAAATTTGGATAAAATCCTGTCATTCGTACCGATGAAGAAGAATTTTAAAGAATTTGCTAAATTACCTCTATTGGGCCAAACCCCATCATGCCCCAGGGGGATCAGATTATACAAAATTGATTTCCCTTCCCAAAAGGATGCTACTGTTCAAATTTGGTCAAAAAACCTTTATATGCTATTCCTCTATATCCTTTATTGGGCCGTCCTCTCTGTCCCCAGGGGGTCAGGCCCACCATTTATACAATATTGTTTCCCCTTCACCTAATGATTCTTCATACCAAATTTGGACAAAATCCTGTCATTCCTACAACAGAAGAAGGATTTTGATGAATTTGCTATGTTTCCCCTATTGGGCCCCACCCCTCTGCCCCCAGGGGCCCACACTCACTGCTTATACAACATTGAGTCACTTTGCCCAAGGATGCTCCAAACTAAATTGGGATGAAATCCTTTAAACTCTATGGTAGAAGAAGGATTTTTTTAAGGTTTTACCTCTATTTCCCCTACTGGGCTCTGTCCCTCTGCCCCAAGGGAGGCCACACCCACGGCTTATACAAAATTGAGCCCCCTTGGGCCAATGATGCTCCAGACTATATTGGGATAAAATCCCTTAATCCCTAAGGTAGAAGAAGGGTTTAAAAGGTTTTACCTCTATTTCCCATATTCAGCCCCGCCCCTCTGCCCCAATGAGGTCCACACCCACTATTTATACAAAATTGAGTTCCTCTGGCCTAGGATGCTCCAGACCAAATATAGTCAAAATCTACCCAGCCGTTCAGGACAAGTAGCGTTTTAAAGAAAAGTTGACGGACAGACGATGGACGACGAACGCTGCGGTATGGCATAAGCTCACCATGTTCCTTCGGACCAGGTGAGCTAAAAATCTAGCAGCACTGAATCTGTAATTTATAGTCCTAAGCAGGCTTGAACTTTAAAGCAAGTCAGTGATGATGTTTTAAATATACCAGCAGAAAATATATATCAGGAAAATTCTGATGAATTTATTAGTATATAGCTAGCAAAGACAAAAGTTGGACATCATGAATCACTTTACAGAAAAATCCATAATATCTATATTCAATCATGAATTGTGTAGTCGATTAATCAGTTTATTGACCTAACTGACCAATAGTCAGTGTATTGACCTTACTGACCAATAGTTGACGAAGGAGATTAATCAGTTTATTGGCCTAACGGACCAATAGTTGAAGAAGTTGACTTATCAGTTTATTGACCTTACTGACCAATAGTTGACGATGTTGATTAATCAGTGTATTAGCCTTATTGCCCGATAGTCGACGAAGTTGCTTAATCGGTTTATTCGCCTAACTGACCAATAGTCAGTGTATTGACCTTACTGACCAATAGTTGACGATGTTGATTAATCAGTGTATTAGCCTTATTGCCCGATAGTCGACGAAGTTGCTTAATCGGTTTATTCGCCTAACTGACCAATAGTCAACGAAGTTGATTAATCAGTGTATTAGCCTTATTGATTGATAGACGACGAAGTTGATTAATCGGTTTATTGGCCTAACTGACCAATATTCGACGAAGTTGATTAATCGGTTTATTGGCCTAACTGGCCAATAGTCGACGAAGTTGATTACTCAGTTAATTTGCCTCACTGACCAATAGTTGACGAAGGAGATTAATCAGTTCATTGGCCTAACTGACCAATTGTCGACGAAGTTGATTAATAAGTTTATTGACCTAACTGACCAATAGTCAACGAAGTTGATTAATCAGTTTATTTGCGTAACTGACCAATAGTCGACGAAGTTGATTACTCAGTTAATTTGCCTCACTGACCAATAGTTGACGATGTTGATTAATCAGTGTATTAGCCTTATTGATTGATAGACGACGAAGTTGATTAATCGGTTTATTGGCCTAACTGGCCAATAGTCGACGAAGTTGATTGATCAGTTTATTGGCCTAACTGTCCAATAGTCGACGAAGTTAGTTGTCGAATCAGTTTATTCACCTAACTGACCAATAGTCAACGAAGTTGATTAATCAGTTCATTGGCCTAACTGACCAATAGTCAACGAAGTTGATTAATCAGTGTATTAGCCTTATTGATTGATAGACGACGAAGTTGATTAATCGGTTTATTAGCCTATCTGACCAAAAGTCGACGAAGTTAGTTGTCTTATCAGTTTATTGACCTTACTGACCAATAGTTGACGAAGGAGATTAATCAGTTCATTGGCCTAACTGACCAATATTCGACGAAGTTGATTAATCGGTTTTTAGGCCTAACTGACCAATAGTTGACGATGTTGATTAATCAGTGTATTAGCCTTATTGATTGATAGACGACGAAGTTGATTAATCGGTTTTTAGGCCTAACTGACCAATAGTCGATGAAGTTGATTAAGCAGTTTATTGGCCTAACTGAACAATAGTTGAAGAAGTTGATTAATCAGTGTATTAGCCTTATTGCCCGATAGTCGACGAAGTTGATTACTCAGTTAATTTGCCTCACTGACCAATAGTTGACGATGTTGATTAATCAGTGTATTAGCATTATTGACCGATAGTCGACGAAGTTGATTACTCAGTTAATTTGCCTCACTGACCAATAGTTGACGATGTTGATTAATCAGTGTATTAGCCTTATTGATTGATAGACGACGAAGTTGATTAATCGGTTTTTAGGCCTAACTGACCAATAGTCAACGAAGTTGATTAATCAGTTCATTGGCCTAACTGACCAATAGCTGACGAAGTTGATTTATCAGTTTATTGGCCTAACGGACCAATAGTTGAAGAAGTTCACTTATCAGTTTATTGACCTTACTGACCAATAGTTGACGATGTTGATTAATCAGTGTATTAGCCTTATTGATTGATAGACGACGAAGTTGATTAATCGGTTTTTTGGCCTAACTAACCAATAGTCGACGAAGTTAGTTGTCTTATCAGTTTATTCACCTAACTGACCAATAGCTGACGAAGTTGATTAATCAGTGTATTAGCCTTATTGATTGATAGACGACGAAGTTGATTAATCGGTTTATTAGCCTATCTGACCAAAAGTCGACGAAGTTAGTTGTCTTATCAGTTTATTCACCTAACTGACCAATAGTCAACGAAGTTAGTTGTCTAATCAGTTTATTGACGTAACTGACCATTAGTTGACGAAGTAGATTAATCAGTTTAGTGGCCTAACTGACCAATAGTCAGTGTATTGACCTTACTGACCAATAGTTGACGAAGGAGATTAATCAGTTCATTGGCCTAACTGCCCAATAGTTGAAGAAGTTGACTTATCAGTTTATTGACCTAACTGACCAATAGTTGACGAAGTTGATTTATCAGTTTATTGGCCGAACTGGTCAAAAGATGAAGAAGTTGATTAATCAGTGTATTAGCCTAATTGACCGATAGTCGACGAAGTTGATTAATCGGTTTTTTGGCCTAACTGACCAATAGTCGACGAAGTTAGTTGTCTAATCAGTTATTGGCCTAACTGACCAATAGTTGAAGAAGTTGATTAATCAGTTAATTTGCCTAACTTATCAATAGTCGACGAAGTTGATTAATAAGTTTATTGACCTAACTGACCAATAGTTGACGAAGTTGATTAATCAGTTTATTGGCCTAACTGACCAATAGTCGACGAAGATGATTAAACAGAATTTGTTTATGTTACATTGGAGGAAAGTATTGCTTTCCTGCATACAGCATCAAAATTTGTAGAGTTCTTGGCTTAGGATTGCAATAAATGACGACTGTACACTAATTAGTCTGTTGTTGCAGGGTGACTTTTGGCTCTGGCTTGCAAGAAAGGAACATGTCTTGACTCTGCTCTGTACGTCGTGTTACTGAGGCTTTTAGAATAATCTGGTCTGTTTTAAGTGCTGCAAATACTTCCTGTTTCGAAGGCCATGACAGTCGGTCAAGTACCACTTGTATTGTGAGTAGGCTTGTCATGATATGTCAATTAACAACAAAATATTTCATGTAAAAAAGGCAAACTCTGATGCGTTTGTAATACCATTTTCCCATTCAGTTTTATGGTTAAACATGTAGCAGAGCAAGGTCGTAAAGCGCTTTTTGCCTTACGATCTAAATGTAAACACATCCATTTAAACATCAAAACTATTCTACACTTCTTTGACACATATGTGAGTAGTGTATTATATTATGGCTGTGAAATATGGGGTAGTTATAAAGGAGTTGAAATAGAAAGGGTTCATATGGAATTTTGTAAAAATATACTGTGTGTTAAAAAATCTACGTGCAATTCTATGGTATATTTTGAGCTTGGATGACTTCCTCTGGCAAACAATCAGATGCTTCGAATGTTTTAATATTGGTTTAAGTTGTTAAATTGTGAAAATTGTATTCTAAAAGAAGCATATTAGTTTTTATTGAAAGAAACTTGGAGGGAAAACATCGAAACGAAATTGGTTATTATGCATAAAGCATAAACTATTTGAACTAGGGTTTGGATAAATATGGGTAAGGCAGGCAGCTACCGACATCTGTCTACTACCTATTATTAAACATCGCATAGATGATCAGGCAAAACAAACTTTATTCAACTCGTTGGCAATCTCAAGTAAATGTGATCTCTATAGATATATGGTAGATACCGTGATGCTGCAATATTATTTAACAAAGTTCATACCAAAACAACGTCGAATTATGATTACAAAATTACGTATGTCAGCTCACAATCTTGCAATAGAAACGGGAAGATACAGGAATGTTGCAAGAAATAATAGATATTGCAGTAACTGTGACCTAATAGAGATAGAAGATGAATTTCATTTTCTATTTACCTGCCCACGTCATCTAGATCTTAGGAGAAAATATATTCAATTATTACTGGCAAAAAACATCTGTATTCAAACTGATCGAATTAGTAAATACACACAATGTAAAAGAACTGAATTTGTTAGGTAAATTTATTATTGAAGCTAACAAACGAAGGATCGTTTAACTTATAAGTTTGATTTACCTAATTTTGTGTTAGTCAATCGTATCATGTCCATGTTTTGTTCGAACAATCTTTCATGTTTAAGATGGTAAATACTCAATGTTGGTGGGTTTTTTGATGATGATGATGATGATGATGATGATGATGATGATGTTTTCAATGATGTTGATATTTTGATGATGATGATGATGATGATGATGATGATGATGATGATGATGATGATGAAAGTGGTAATGATTTCAATAATATCGTTGATTTGAGATGAATGTACCAGATTTATGAAATTCATGTAAAAATGGTAATTATTTCATGTTGTTGTACTTTGACGACGACGACGACGACGACGACGACGACGATGCTGATGATGATGAAGATGATGATGATGATGATGATGATGATGATGATGATGATGATGATGATGATGATGATGATGATGATGACGATGATGACGACGACGATGATGATGATGATGATGCTGATGATGATGATGATGATGATGATGATGATGATGATGATGATGATGATGAAAGTGGTAATGATTTCAATAATATCGTTGATTTGAGATGAATGTACCAGATTTATGAAATTCATGTAAAAATGGTAATTATTTCATGTTGTTGTACTTTGACGACGACGACGACGACGACGACGACGACGATGCTGATGATGATGAAGATGATGATGATGATGATGATGATGATGATGATGATGATGATGATGATGATGATGATGATGATGATGACGATGATGACGACGACGATGATGATGATGATGATGCTGATGATGATGATGATGATGATGATGATGATGATGATGATGATGATGATGAAAGTGGTAATGATTTCAATAATATCGTTGATTTGTGATGAATGTACCAGATTTATGAAATTCATGTAAAAATGGTAATTATTTCATGTTGTTGTACTTTGACGACGACGACGATGCTGATGATGATGATGATGATGATGATGATGATGATGAAAGCGATGAATTATGATTTCGAGGATGTTGTTGCTGCTGATTTGTGATGAATGTGCCAGTAATATGTAATTATATCTTGTACTTATATGAAAGTTTTTGTTGAAAATCCTATAAGTTGTAAAACTTACGGAAATAAAAAAAAAATGAATTGAATTGAAAAAAAAGTATCAAAGAAAGACTCAAAAGTGGTCACATAACAGGGTTTGGTGTCTTAACACATTCACCCCTGAAATTTCATAATGAACTATTCCAACCTTTAAATTGGAAGAGTTCAAATGTGTGTTCAGGGGTGAATGAGTTAATAGAGAATTGATGCATGGTAAACTGCTTAGTGGGAATGAGAAAATGGTGGTTGTTAAGAACCCTAAGGGGGGGGGGGGGGGCAATGGGGGAACACAATGATAGATATTTAATATCCTCCTTATGTTCCGTTAGAATGAAGGGATTTTATGATATTTTAACCACAATTTATCTTCGATATTTAGAGGTAGTGAAATGAAATTTGTTTAAACGGAGAAATTTAACCAAGTTTGGTTTAGATGAATCCTTGTGCAACAGGGACACAATTTTATATAACTTGGATGTATGTATGGATACAAACAGAACACCAACATCGATATCAGTGCACTTCAAAGTCAAGTGGTTCATATAAGTAATATCCTGGTAAACTTGGGTTTGTGCCAGTATCTGTGCACCTATAGGAAACAAAGACTTTTAAAAACACTAAGTGTGTGACGATGATGAAATATATAAGAAAGTATAACTAAGGGAATAGCATCCTACCCAGTATACTTTGATCTTACATTGTACTTTGACCCACTCTGAACTTGGGGCCTTGAGAAACTCACCATGCTCTTGAAAATTGACAGTGTCATAAATGACAGGGATGTTTTTGTAATGTCGAAAATGGTCTGCTTTAATCAGACCAGTGTCAGAATTTTTCACGATAAAACCTGGTTCATATAAGGTGCCCACTAATTCTAAAAATAGCATAAACAGTATTTCTACATTGAAAATTACATGTTGAATTCCTGGAAAAGTTGAAAGTTCCACTGAATTGGCCAAATGACAATCGCACTCATACATCCATTATCATTAAGAAGGCTGAAGGTTTTCTGACTATTTGGTAAACCCAGGTAGGGTTACGTGACCATAGTTATGGCCCTTTGTTCATTTCTTTCTGCCGAGGTTTTGTCTCCGCCAAGTAAGGGACTATGTCCCTACTTTAGTGATGAAACAGTCTATATCATTATCATCAAAAGAGGATTTTGCAAAAGTAAAGTCATGGGAATGAAGTTCTAAACAAATGGTGTGGCTCCAATAAGGAGCATAGGACTGAGGACAAATATGTGAAAATTGGGTATGGGTGGACAGACTTTAACTTAAAATAAGACATCCCTGGTCTAAGGGGAATACGTTGTGTATAAAAAAAGGATGTGTTGACCTTATTTGGGACTGAGAAATGGGGGAAAATAGGGGTAGTTTAAAAGACTAATCCTTCAGTACAGTTCGTTCTATATAAACATGATTTAGTATGAAGCATCCCTAGACCAAGATAGTGATGGGCAATCGCTTTAAAATCAAAATCAATAATTGGTTTGTTATCGGCAGTAGTAAACCAATTGATGATTGATTGAATGATCGGTACTGCTATATAAGTATATGGGACTGAATACCCTGAAAAAGTGAAATAACGACAGTTGCATCAATAGACAGAGTTGTTGCGTTTCGTTCTTTTATAATGAATGGATTTCAAGTATCTTTTATGGAGTTTTGTCAATCATTTACTTATAAGAAGAAACGATTTTCGATGCATGCTTTACAATATTTACATCTGATGCTTTGACTTCAACAATGAACTGATCATCATATCAAATATGGAATTTGTAATCTATAATTGCCATCGGAAAGGGCCAACGGTTTGATTTTTAATCATAATCGAATCATCAGCTGTTCATTAGACCAAGGTGACATAATTGTGTGTCATGGGGGGGGAGGCAGAGATATTTTGCATTTTCTCATCAATTACTTGGCCAGTTTAAACAAAGCTAGGTTGAGGCTACATTGTAGTTTGAAAACAAACAAGGTGGACATTAGTACTTGTAGGCTCGGGCTGCAACTTTCTCAGTTTCTTCTCAACTTCCATCAAGCCAATTTCGTCAATTTATTTATGAAAAGATACTATCATGGCTCTTCGTAAGTGGTTGTGATTTTTGGATCAATTGAAACTTGATGAATGTTACGAAGTTTGGTCAAGTGAATGACCTTTGCCCCTTTTCAATATCGGAGGGATTAAATATGAATAGGAATGATGTTATGGCTCCCATAAGGAGTATAGGACAGATTGGAAATCTGTGTATGGGTGGACAGACAATAAGGCATCCCTGGTCAAATGAATCACCTTGGCCCTTATTCAGGGTCCTATGGCCCTTTCGACCTTTTGTTGTATAACCTAATTTGCACACTGGTGGTCATGTATTTAGAGTTAACCTTAGATAACAATTGAAAGAGAGGAAAAATCCACTCGTTGTAATTTAATTATTATAACAATGAAATAGATGTATTCTGATGTAAAAATAAGAATTTGTGAGAGTGAAGCTCAACCTTGAATTTTGAATTTTGTTACTTTCAGGAAGAATATGAGGAAGGGCTACATGGAACTGTTCAATATGAACAGGGACCTCATCAATAGTTACAAAATCTGGTGTGGAAACCACCAGGAGTTGTTAGCTTCTCTCAAACAGGTCAACCAGGCCATGCAGAAAGCTGGACGACTCAGAGGTACATACTTATCTGTCATACAGAAGTCTGGACGACTCAGAGGTACGTACTTATCTGTGATACAGAAAGCTGGACAACTCAGAGGTACATAC